TGAACTCCAACAAAGCAGATACAGTCGGCCCTCTTTACCCTCAGGTTCCAAATTTGCAGATTCAACCAACTGCAGGGCGAAAATATTTGGGGAAAAAACCTAAAAATAACACTCCAACAATAAAAAAAAAAACAAATTTTAAGAAATACAGTACATCCACTATTTACATAGCATTTACATTATATTAGGTATTATAAGCAATCTAGAGATGATTTAAAGTGTATGAGAGGATGTATGTAGGTTATATGCAAATATGATGCATTTCATATAAGGGACCTGAGCATCCCAGGGTTTTGGTATCTGTGGTATCAATCCCTGGTAGATACAAAGGGATGACTGTAGAGGATTAGAGGATCCCTGAATAATTTTCAGCTTGGACATTCTAGGAGCCTTTTCTTCAGCCTCTTGTTCCAATAATTCTCACTATCTTGCTGTGCCTTTGATCTAGTCTAAATCACCTTGCACACTAACTCATCTATTTTAATGTGCAAATTCATCTCTCAGCAGCAGCAAGATGAACTCCTTGTGTGTGTGGGGATGTGTATGTGTGTGCTTGTTGCCCGAGGGGAGTTGAGGGATCTAAATGAGCATCCAGAGCTACTGAAGATAAGAAGCCCAAATGTAAAGTTGGGGACAGCTGTGATAATGGAGTGATGCTCAGGCTGAGCTGAATTGGCACATCTGGCAGGCAGCCACCCTCATTTAAAGCAGCTCCTTCCAGCCTCCCTGGTGACAGGAGCCCTGCTCCAGAACTGGGGGGATCTGAGGCTGGGGTGGCTGGCAGAGGTGATTGGCAGCCCACTGTTCCCTGCTTTGCCAGCACCCTAAGGCTCCCTCCCACCTAAGCCAGGGCTGAGCCTCAGAGCAGCCAGGAAAGCCTGATCCAGCCCCTGGGCAAAATCAGACCACAGGGCAGAATGTCTCCAGGGAGAACTCATTCATCATTTTGCCTTTGTGAAATTGAGATCAAATTAGAAGTCCTGTTAAAAGGAAAGAAGTCATCCAGCAGCTTCAGGTCACAGAAGCCCAGTGCTTGGCTGGCATGCAGCCACCCACAGGGCCGGGAGCTGCTGGAGGAGGTGGTGGGCAACTGGATGTCCCGCTGGGCTAGCACTCCTCTTTCTAGGGCATCAGGGAGGGTAGGGGCATGCAGCTCTGGGGCTTTAGGAAAAAAGAGCTAATGACATCCTGATGAATATGTGATTGGAGCTACAGTCGTTGCAATCAACAGGTTTTCCTGATTATAAACTGAGGACAAACTGCAAGTAACAGAGTAGTATCTGTTTGTGAAAAGGACTTCAGAGCATTGATCCTAGCACCTACCACTTCACACTGGGTCCTGGTGATGCCCATGCACCCCCGGCCCCAGGCCCTAAGGAGCGCTGCTACCCTATCCCTGAGCCCTGAGTGTGCTCATAACCCCATCCCACCCAAGACCAGTGCTCTCAGGCCCTGCTGCCATGGGGTCATGTAAGAAAGCAGGCTGCTGGCTGGCAGCTGGCTCTTGGGGTAAACAGAGCCAAATACATGCTTGCCTTCAGTGAGACGGAGGACCAAGGAAGATGAGCAGATCCATGAGGGTGGGAGGGGGCAGATAATGGGTTCATGGTCATTTCCAGTCTCAAAAAGAGTCGCCATTAAGTAAACACTTTCTATCTGTCAGTCACCTATGCTAGGTACTTCATGTATATTATATCCAAACCACAGAAGAGGTAGGTGTTGATGTTCCATTTTATAGAGAGGAAACTGAGGCTCAGAGAAATGTGGTGACTTTTCTGCAGGTCACACTTAGTACGGAGAGGAACGTTTTACATGCAGGAAGAGTTAAGAACACAGCTTGGGGTCAAATTCTGACTCCCCTGCTTACTGGCTATGTGATCCTGGGTGGGAAAGTACTATTCTCTTTATATCTTATTTACCTGTAGAGTGGAGATAATACCTGCCTCACAGTCGTTACGAGGCTTATGTTGGGGCAGGATCTTCAAGTTTCGATAGGGTGCCTACTGCAGAGCAAAGGCACAATGCACGGGGGGACTGGGCATGGTGGCTCACTCCCGTAAACCCAGCACTTTGGGAGGCTGAGGCAGGTGGATTGCTTGAGGTCAGGAGTTCGAGACCAGCCTGGTCAACGTGGTGAAACCCCGTATCTACTAAAAATATGAAAATTTGGGATACAGGCACATGCCTGTAATCCCAGCTACAGGAAGCTGAGACAGAAGAATCGCTTGAATCTGGGAGGCAGAGGTTACAGTCAGCCGAGATCCCACCACTGCACTCCAGCCTGGCCCACAGAGTGAGACTGTTTCAAAACAAACAAACAAACAATGCACAGGCAGGATTTATTCTCTCTGCGTGTCTGCAGGATGCCAGTCTGTGAGGACCAAAAGCTCATTCCATGGGAAAGGGAGTCAGTTCTAAATGGGTTTTCTTCACCTCTGATTATTCTCTCCTTTAATGGAACCCTTGGAGAGCCTCTATTTTCAAGTTATTTAGAAAATGAGACCTCTTACGTAAAAAAAAAAAAGCCATGTGGGATTAAATGTCTTCTGTCCTCAGAATATTAGGTTAGCGCAAAAGAAACTGCGGTTTTTGTCATTGCTTTTAATGGCAAAAACTACAATTAGTTTTGCACCAACCTGATACTTCTTAGTTGTACTCTTTCCCTCAGTTCTCCAAGCCAAGAAACTCTTATTTGAACAAATCCTCAAGAAAGTGCTTACAATAGCAGCCCCTTCCTATTGTTTCCCCTCAACTCTGAACCTCAGTCCCACCTTGCGGTGCACTGGAACCGCCATCCTCACGTCATCTATGAAGACAGTGAGCAGCTCTGGACTGTCTGTTACCTGTCACCTCTGCTGTGGCTTCAGGATGGTGATGGAGTTCCATCCCAGCCACATCCTCTTTAGGATGGAAAATCCCAGCTCCTCTGCTTGTTGAACCAGAAGACTCTGATTATCCGGAACAAGCTGTGTCTCCAAGGGTGGTATCGGGGCTCCTGGCGAGTAGAGATGAGGCCTTCTTAAAGATGGCGTTGGTATTTTCCATGCTGCCTGGAAGGTTTGCATGGCAACATGTGTTAGGGGTAACAAGGCTGGGGCAGTGGCGGGGGTGGATCCACACAGGGGAGGGAGAACACTAGCATGTGAAACATCTCTTCCCACCTGTGAGGAGAGACAACTTCAGGTGCAGCAGACTCTCCTCCAAATTGGAGATGACTGCTCTTGGCAGGCACTCTGGAGCAATAATCATAACAACATAATTTGACATTCCCCACTCTTTGGGGAAGAGAATACACCTATAATAGCCATTTTCAAGAGCCAAGGAGTGCAGCCAGAGCAGGGGAAGGGGGGGTCTGAACTTCAAAGGAGACAGGCCTGGTGGTTATGAAAACAAACAGCCTTTCAGTTTTCAAAGCTCCACGGAATTCTCTGTGAAAACAGCAACTTCTGCACCCTCTAATTTTCTTCTTTGTGCTCTGATTAGCATCAAGCTGTTCTCCCTTTGCAATTCAGTAGCCTCTTGAAGGGTGTTTGTTTGCATGATAGGACTGATGGGCAGGTCCTGGCTTCTCTACAGTGGCCTGTCACTTGCTTGCCACCAGGGCATCACCACAGAGTGCCCCAGTGAGCTCCCTCCAGCCATATGCAGTACATCAATCTGAGTGAGGGGCTCAGGCCATTGATTCTCTTCCACTGCCCGCCCCCCTGCCACCAAATGCCAATTATTTATATTGGTTTCAGAAACAAAGTTCTTAATTTAAGCCAACAGCTGCCTTACCTGTGAAGAACACTTTCTTTGGGTGTGTTGAATAAAATCTCCCTGGAGGAAGAAGATTTCCTTTCCTACATGTTTCGGAGAATGGCCAACTTTGATTCCTTAAAGGACATGAGCTTCTCCCTTTCCCAGACCCTTCAAACTTAACCCAACTGACGTCATAGTTGATATCTTCAATCTCAAGATAGAGTCTGGTAATCTCTTATATTTGCGTAGCGCTTTATAATTCCCAAAGTGCCTTCACCTCCAAAACTTCATTTAACCTTTACAACAATGGAGGAGGTAGGTTGGGCAGGTATTAGTGTTTCCAGAAGCAGTAGCAAAGCTCAGAGACGTTAAGCAACTTGCCCAAAGTCACACGGCTGGCAGGTAGTCTTTGGAACTTTGGTCTGGGACTCCTGACATTCACTGTACCTGCCTCCTATTCTAAAATGATTATGTGATTGTAAGGAGGAGCCAGAGAGTAGTGCCACTTATTGGACTTCTCACTTAGGGACTTGCAGTCCATAGGTGACCCTGGTTTAGAGCGACCCTGGGGCAACTGGAAGGGAGCATTGCCTCTGGGGATGGGGTGAGAGTACAAGGTGGGTTAGGGAAATGAACACATTCGCATCAGTCAGGGTTCACTGCAGAAAGAGATGCCTGTGCTTTGGCACCTTAAGCAGAGAACAATCTAACCCATGGAACAGGGTGCCTATAGCACCACCAGATGGGCTGGAGGAGGGTGCCAGGAGGGACCCCCAGGAATGATTCCCAGAAGGATTCACGCAGAGCTTTCCTAACAGGGGAGACACCACCTACCACTCACCCCACTGAATTTAAGAGCACACGCAGTGGCTGCAGGCCAGGAGTCTGCTGCAGGCCACCAATGATGCCAATGCAACTCTCTCTCAGCACTCCACAGCTGGAAAATGGATGCTGAAATCCTGCTACCAATAAATCTGATGTTTCCAGCATATTGCCAGCAGAAAATAGCAAAAGGAGTAGGAAGCGGCATTAGATTGGCCACAAGTTCCCATCTAGAATTGTTGCCACACAGGAGTCTGAGCAATGTGGCTTTTTGTGAGATGGTTTCTATCTTCTACAGAACAGGAAGGAACATTCAAAGGAGGGTACAATGGAAGTTGAGTAAGCCAGTACACAGAGTCCACCATAGCAGCCAGCCTAAGGCCCACTCTCTTGTTATCCATGGAAACCCGACATGCAAACACTCTGACAATGAATATTTGATTCTGAAGTGGATATATCAAAGGTCTTTATTAGCATAGGAACAACCCGTAGTGTGCATTTGTGTGTTCCCTAAATGCACACAGACACCGTATCTCTCAAGAATCACTGATGTATTTCATTGTAGAGTTGAGAATTTCTAGGCCATGAAGCTTTCTCAGTTGAGCAGCAAACCTGTCACAATCAAAACAAACAACCCAGGACATAAGTGCCACGGTTCAGGCTTCTGGAGCCCAGAGCCAACACCCTCTCAGATGGAAGCTGGCTGAGAACGTCAGTTCTATCACTGGGTGGAAACAGGAAGTGGCTGTGGCATTGGGGTACCCTAAAGACCACAGGGGTAGGTAGGACCCTCAGGGAGGCCCACAAAGCACTGAAAACACTTGCTGCAGGTGGCAGGTGTGTCAGGCTGATCAGACGGGACCTTGCTCTCGAGAACTCCCCCATAGGTTGCCACTTTGAAGTCATCCTAGCTAATGTGCTTGCTTTCTATAGAAGAAAGATTTTAACTATTCCTTCCATTTGAACAACCAGACAGAACTTGAAAGGACCTTAGATATTATGGAGGCCAACCCCCTCAATCTACAGAGGAGGAATTAAAGGCATGTGGATGTAAGGGAAGGAGCCTCTCTCACTCAGTTCCTGGGGTTACCCCTGCTCTGTGCCACGGCTCCTTCGCTCAGCCACAGGTGGACACCCCCCAGAAGCACGTGCAATGAGGTGCATCTGCACATCAGAACAGGAGCAGAGCAGAGTGGAGGTCTGAGCTTAACAGAGAAGCCATGGGCACAGTTACAGCCCACATCTCTTGCCCTCGCTCACTGGGGGCCTCGATGTGCTGTTCTGCGTCTCTGCTTCTCCACTGTTTCCTCCTGCATGAACATGTGACCCTCGCTGGCCATTCCTCCATTTGTTTAGGCTGAGACAAAGAACATGAAGTGGGGGTCTGTTTCTGGAAAAGTAGAGAAGAGAGAAAAGAGGGAAGAGAAGGGGAGGTGGAGTGGGGTGGAGGAGAAGGAGGATAAAGAGACAGGGAGAGGGATGCAGAACAGCGGAAAATGGAATGGAGAGAAGGCAACAGCAGCAAGTGTGAGCAGCAAGTCCCCATCAGACAAGCTGATTCCCTCTCTGGTTGGAGCCCAAGAGCTCCCGTTTCCTCTAGAAAGGCTTTCTTCAGAGAAGCAGCTATTGGGCTTAACCTAGGTCTGCACAGAAACCATGAGGGCTTCCCACAGCATCCTGTGTGGCACGCAGTCCCAGCCAAAAGTCAGCGCCTCAGCTCAGCTGCTTTCTGCAATGGGACCGACGCTGGGTCAGCCTGGCTCCGTGTCCACAGCATACCTGGGCTCAGCTGTGCACAGCTTCCCCAGAGCAATGCCTGCGTTCACCTGCACGGCCGTCTTCTGTGTGTCACTGCCTGCGAGCCTTAACAAGACCTGCAGGAGGTCTGTCTTTAGCAGGGAAGACGCAACGTTGGGCACCTCCATGCAGTTACCAAGGCAGAGGGCAGCGTTGCCCACCAGAACCTCATCCTCCGAGCTGAGCAGCTTCATCATAATGCTCAACTCTGCAAGGAAGGAAGAGAACAAGCAACAGCTCCTTTTAATCCCCAAATAGGAGGCTGGCAACAGGACATGAGGGGCGCAGGGAGGTGTCAGTGGACACCGAGCTTCCCCAATAACTCTGCAGCAGAACTTGTTCACTCACTCATCAGCAAACGTTCACTGAATGCATATGAACCTCCTCAACTCCTTGCTGAATCTCTGAAGTATCTCGGCTTCCCAGAACAGCGTCCAGCACAACACAGTTGTTAGGTGAATGAATGCTATGTGTCAAACAGGCCTGTCCTCCTGAAAGCCCCTATTCTTAACCTCTCACTGCACCAGGGTGAGAGGTCCCATCTGACAGCCCCCAGGTGGGAGGCAACGTGCTGGCAACCAAACCTGCAGGGTATGAAACAGGATCCAGGAGAAAGGCTCCGGCTTCCATGGTGGAGCCTCCTTTAGTTCACCTTCTGCACACTCCAGGGAGTTGGTAAGAAGAACATTAGCAGCTGCCTCTCCTGGGAAGCCTGCTGTGAATAACTACAGCCGGTTTAAGCTACTGGACTAAAGCTAGGCTCAGACTCTGGTACTTCCCTTGTTCACTAAATGTTGAAGGTGATTTCCCCCCTCCTTCTGTGAAGGCAGAGAACTGAACTTGGTGAGAGGAGGGAGTTTCCTAGCTTTGCCCCTGTTATCTCTGAGCTGTCTGTCAGCTGGGTCTCCAGTCTGGGTATCCTACCTGTGTGCAACCAAAAGGCTAATTAAATGCTTTCAGATCTGACGTGAAACATCTTCCATAAACATTGCTGAAGCCTGGGAGAGGTTAACAGCATTGCTGCTAAGTTCCTCCTCGACCACAGTTCCCTTTGCAGCTTCAAGGGTGGATGAACCTCTGGGATGAGGGCTCCCTTAAGGAAATCATCACTTACTTTTATCCAATCTTATTACTTCTTCCCGAGCTTCGTGATAACTATTCGTGCAGATAGCTAGTATCTTTATAGCATAACGTGATGCAGTCTCGCCTCCTGTCTAGATTTCAGAATGAAATCAGAAAAATATAATCAGTGCTATGATTGCTCTTGGCCACAAACCACAGCGAGCAGTTATTATAGTGCTAGTGGCTTCCTAAACTCTGAAGAGAGAATTCTGTGGAGAACGGCATATGCTTCCTGGTGAGCAGGCATGGTCCCTGCTGGAACAGAGTGTCACCCGCATCCTCTCTAACCCAGCCCACACCCCTGACAGGAATGCAGGCCTGTCATGTACACCTGAGTAATTGCCTCCAGAAGAATTTATGAGCAAGTGGCTGAGAAGAGAATGATGCTGATGAATGGCAGACCTACCAAAAAGGGAGGAAAAGGGCCTCCCATGTCATTTTCCCATTTGAGAATGAGGACTGACTTGCCAAGGCTGTTAGGCTGACAGTCCTGCATGAGGAACCTCAGGAACCTAGATCATTTTAAGAGGCGACAACTGTCAAACATGGCCCTTGCAATCTCCCATGTGGGGTCTTTAAAAGGCATGTGTGCATGTATGCATGCATGATGCACAGGTATGCATGCCATCAGGAGCTTTTGGTGGGTTTGCAAAAGTCATAATGAATGACAGTCATTGTTCAAGTGGCAGCCTAAACTTAAGACCCCCTGTGCTGCCCCCTCGGTGTTACCCCTGCCCCAGCAGTAGCCCGCAAAGCATGCTTCCCTGACCCACTCAGCCTGAGGCTTTATGAATAAAAGCCATGTGTCACCACACCAACATGGGTGTGTGGACCTCATGGGCACACACATCATAGGTGGGATTCTGAGATGGCAACCTAATATAATAATCCCCTTCACCCTTGCAGGTGAATCCAGATAGCTGCTCTACCGGCTTGCTTAGATTCACCGCGCTCATTTCACAGGGAAATCCCAACATCCTTTGGTCGCATGGTAATTCTGCAGGCTACATGTCTCATAGATGAGTAGCAAAACCTGAGCAAAACAATGTGCCTGAAAGCCACTTAGATCATTTTTATCAAGAACAGAGGCCATATATTTTAAAGTCAGGCTTTAAATAAGCAGTCTTTTTTTTTTTTTGAGATGGAGTCTTGCTCTGTCGCCCACGCTCAAGTGCAGTGGCACGATCTCGGCTCACTGCAAGCTCTGCCTCCCAGGTTCATGCCATTCTCCTGCCTCAGCCTCCCAAGTAGTTGGGACCACAGGTGCCTGCCACCGTGCCTGGCTAATTTTTTTGTATTTTTAGTAGAGATGGGGTTTCACCATGTTAGCCAGGATGGTCTCGATCTCCTGACCTCGTGATCCACCCGCCTCGGCCTCCCAAAGTGTTATAGATGTATCTAATGAACAATTTTCTTATTTACTGAACAATCTGTTATTGATGTTCAGAGTATGGTCTGGGTAGACAGGCAGAAGCAAATCCCTATCCAAGAAGTTTAAAATCTAGCAAGGAAGAAATGGCAGCACATTAACCAAACAAAACCCGCCTTAATTCTGTTCCCCAAATAAAATAGGAGACTTCTGTACATTTCAGGGTTGTAACCAATGAAGTGATCTTACCTTCAGGAATTTCATCATTTTCTTTACCACTCCTGCTTGCAAGGCCTCCTCAACAATTTTCAGAGAGGAAGAAAGGGTCCGGCTCAGAACACCAGCAGCTCTCTGAATACAGCAGAAAGAGGATAATTAAATGTCCTTTTCAGAAATGCTGACAACCTTTAAAAGTTAACAGGAAGTTTGGTGAGGCAAAAGCAATCATTAACATTGGAAGCAAAATATAAAAAATAGGATGGCCAAATAATAGCAAGCACTGTTCTTTTTAATAAAACTGTCACAGAGCTGCAGTCATAGCCCCTTGCCACCCAGAGGCCCACATTATTTCAGCTTCACACAGGATCAACCAGTTCAACTCTGAGAAAGGAAGTTCTCCCTTGTGATTCCTCCCAGAGCTCTGATATCAGCAGGCCCTTTATTAGGGGATGTTTGATTTCCTGGATTGGTCTTCTGTGTTATTTATCTTTATCTTTTCCTCCGTCTTTTGTTCTAGTTTCTGGGATAGTTCATTTATTTCCCAGCTCTTCTCTCTCTTTTTTTTTTTTTTTTTTTTTTTTTTTTACTAAATTTCTCTCTTTTTTTTTTTTTTTTTTTTTTTTTTTTTTAAATAAATGGCAAGCTGTTACTCTTTTATGGATATAACTATCTTTAATCTTTCTCAGGATACAAATGATAGTTACAATTTTTTTCTTCTGTTTCCTGTATCATCTCTATTTCTTTTGGATCAATTTTTATGTTTATCTTGGTTTTCCTATTTATGTGTGTGGCTTTCCTGCAATGTCTGGTTGACTCTTACCTGCCCAATCACATGTACGAAAAAAGCAATAAAATATGTTTGGGTATGCTATGTTTATGGGAAGTATGGAAAGGTAGAGAGGTGGCACTCCCATATACCAGAAAGAAAAATGTTTTCTCCAGTTTCAGTTCTTTAAAGATGAAAGTGTTCTGATTTTACGCCTGGAGGATAGATGCCTGCCAGCAAACGCAGCTCCACTGCCTTGTACCTCTGCTCTCTGTTGTATCAGGAGTTCTGAAATCTTGATCCTTTCATTATAAGGCAAATCTGCTACTGACCAGCTATGTGTTCCTCCGTCTGTACTCTATACGAAGGTGTCCTCAGCCCTGCCTCATTAATTACCACCCTAGCAGCTGCTCTCCATCTTCAGGAAACTTGTTAGAATTACTTACCTATTGGTAACCATTGCCTGTTCACCGTCAATGTAGGTCTCTACTTTTTTTGTTCCCCCCAATGGCTTTAATCTCATTTTAATGAGGACTCCAGAGGGAGAAAAGATAAACTTATGTGTTATCAATCTTGCTTCCCTAATCTGCTTCCTAAAGATCCTAGAATTTTGCTACAGCTGACACCACAGATCCCCTTTCAGGCCCAGGACAGTGGAGACTGTGCTAGACTAGGACCAGATGCCCATGGTGAAGCTACTGCCCAGCAAGCTGGGAAGCACCCAATGTGGCACACACAGAATGCTGGAGAAATCTGGCCCAAGAGCTCTCCTAAAGGTTTACTCAGGGATTAGTGTAGGCCTATCTTTAGGTCTGGACCATCTGAGAACGGTGGTGCTTACCACTTTGGGGGTCACGGACCTCTTTTGAGGATCTGATGAAAGCTATGATGCCCCATCCATGAAAATGCACACGCACAAAACCTTCACCCTATCCTGTCTGAATTGACTTTGGGGACGTTTAGAGAGTGCTACCCCCAAACAGGGTATGTTGGATCTACTCAGAACCTTTTTTAAACTGTGGAGCCAGTCCTCAGTCTGCAACCCTTGAAAGGCTGGTTTCCCAGATCCACCCTAGATGTGGCTCTAAATGCTTCTCTAGGCATTAGGGCCCTGCCCTGACAGGGAGAAAAACAGGGGTGATCATTTAACATGAGTGAAGAACACTTCCTAGGGTGATGGCAAACAGCCTCTTGAATCATACTAATATTCTTTTCCTGATGCACTGTGCTGACATATAGGGCTTTCTCAGTTTTCTTATTCAAATGTCAGACACAGAATTGAGAAAGCCATTTCAGCATATATTTTAAAAAGAGGCTAAAACTATTATGCACAAACAACCTCTAGGATCACTGGCTTAAAATATGGGCCTGGCTTTTTTTTTTTCCTATGGAAAAAAGGGATTCTAAATAAGTTGGACACTTGATCTGTCCAATTTGCACAGGATATTTTGAAATAGGACAAATCAGATCGATTATATCCTCTAAGCTGGTTAAATTTCAGACCAAATGGAAGGGGGATTCTTAAGGTGGGTTCCTGGACTCTAGGGGATCCACAGATGACGGTCATGGCAAGGAGGTCACCAAATCCCTGAAACTGCAGACAAAACTTGGTGTTTATGTGCTTGTGTGCATTATTCGAATAGTATATACATACTGCATCTCAGAGACTCAGCAGATTCTCAAAGGTGGCAACTTGAAAAAGATTACACTGGTAACAAAACAAAACAAAACAAAACAAAACAAAACAAAACAAGAACAGTGAAAGTTGCTTCTGGATTTCCCTGGGAGAAACTTACTGTCAGGATTCCTCCATCCTGGCTGTTTAGTAAAGACAGGCACTTTCTGCTCACCTCCACAGCCCAAACCTACAACAATGGGGAGAGGCCAGCAGAAGATTTTAATTTTCTGACAATCTGAATTCTCAGCGGAGCTTCTTCTGAGCACCCTCTCCTTTTTACCACCATGACACTGTGCCCAGGTTCCCTCACAACACCATCTTCTACTGCTCTTATTCCTCCCCATGTCTGTCTCCCCTAACTCCAGGGTATTACCCTGATACAGGAACCACCTTTCACTTGACTTTGTAAAGACAGCACCTCATACTCTGCTCAGCACACCTTGGATACCCAGTCTGTTTTCTGAGTGAATACATGACTGAGTGATGCATCCACCCCTCAGCAGAGCAAAGGGAGAGTGCATCCCTCCAGCCTTTTCCCATTCCACGGCCAATGTGTGAGTGTACATGCTTCTGTCTCTTCGTGAACACGAGAATGGTTTTATGCCACAGAATGTGTACCAGTTGTCCCAGGGTTCCAGGCAGGGAGACAAGAACGCCATACCTCAGAGACAAAGGGAGCCTGAAGACACAGGTTCATCATGAGTCCCAGGAGTGTGTAGATAACCTCTCTGAACAGGTCCACATCCTCCTCACACCTGGCCTTGGAAAACAAAACAAGGTAACCAATGACCTTTCTGCCTTACAGCTTTTTATAGTCATCTTTTCCCTTGGACTAGTGTCTCAGAGTTCCCATACTCCCTAAATTGCCAATGTCATGAACCTAAACGGTTTTGGAGACCAGTTCCATGAGTTAGTGTTAGTCCAGGAGACTTGGAAGGAGTCTCTGGTGCCTCTGCCATGGGACTATGGATCAGGTTGGCCCTGGGTTGAAAGTGAAGAGTGAGCTGCTGAGACGGGTGATCATTCAACTCCATCAGAAAAATCCTTCAAATCAGGATCAGGCAAAATGGCTGACTAGATGCAGCCAGGTGGAACAGCTCCCACTGAGGAACAGAGATGACTGACATGCTCCTAACAGACCTTCAAAGGGAAGACGCTGAGAGTAGATGGAGGAAAGATGTAGAAGCGGGGCAGAGGGGAGTAACTGGGAACGCTGCATGGGGCTCCTATGTACCAAGGCTTTTCTTGGCCCCTAAAGGCTCTTGAGGAATGGGTGAATTGAAGTGGCAAAGAGCAACCTAATCTCATCATAGGCCTCTGGAACCCCGGGAGGAGAAATCCCCTTGACCACCACAGACACTCAGCGGTTGTCAGGGAGAGCTGCTTAGAGAAGTGGTGGGGTGGCAAGCCAGTTGATGTGGAACCCAGAGGGTTGGGCGTGGAAGCATCTGTAGTGGAGCATGGCCAGGGACAGCCATCCCCCTAGGCTCACATAAGTCCCATAGGAGACTTTAGCCCTCGGGAAATCATCAGACCTGAACTCTGCAGGGTGGTCTTGCCCATCAAACAGGGCCAGTCCAACTTGAGGACCCCTTGCTCTGCTGGACTCTCCTGGGGCCCCAGCCTGGTCACACCTGCTTGCTGAGCAGTCTCGGGGGCCCTGGGGGCCCATACCATAGCTCCTGCACTGGCAGACCATGCCTGACCAGTGGAGAGCACCAGCAGGGTACCCCTATCACCATGCACCAGCCCACATGCTCCCTCTCCACACCACAGCTTCCCCTGGGCCCAAGGCAACTCCCCACATCACTTTGCTGGTGAGTGTCTGATCAGGCAGGTTTTGCTTTCCTTGCCCTGCCAGAGCATGGGAGTGCAGTCCTGCCCCTCCTCTTCCCACTGACCACCATTGTAGGTGGAGTATTGATGGGCATAGAGCCAGCCAGCCCCACCCCTACCAGCAACTTGCCCTTGTGCTAGCATGGCATAGAGTACAGTGGATCTTTCTCCCTCTAGGAGCAACCTCCTCCGCTTGCGAGGCACAGAGAAGGCACAATCTTCAGCATGACCATACACACAGTCATCAGCAGGGACCCTCTCCCCAAGCTGTGTTGCCTCTGCCATTGTGGCAAACACCTGCAGGGAGGCAGGCACCCTGACACCTGCTAGCACCCTGTCACAGGTCTTCTGCTGCTGTTGGCATGAGTGAACAAGTTAAGGTCCCATTACCACCACATTATGAAATTCTTGGGCTAACACCATCCATTGGAGTGTAGTGACCAGAGGTTTGGGATCACCTTGGCTCCCCCATTGCTGTATTCTTAACCTAGAGGAGCCAGAAAACAAAGTCAAGGCCCAATACAAGTCCCTGAGAGTTAGAGCATCCAGTCCAGAAATTGGGAGCTGAATACTGACTCCCTAAAATCTTCTAGAAATAAAGCCACTCATCTAAATCCACCTTATACCACAATAAAACCCTCAAGGTCATAAAATAAGATAAAAGAAACAAATTTATCCAAAGGTCAGCAATCTCAACAATTTGACAGTAGAGAAATCAACAAAGATAAGAAAGAATCCACATGATAAACCTGATAATTCAAAAACCCAGATGCCTTCTTTCCTTCAAACAACCACAACACCCCTCCAGAAAGGGTCTAAACCAGGCTGACATGGCTGAAATGAAACAAATAGAATTCAGAATATGAATAGGAATGAAGTTCATTGAGCTACAGGAGTGCATTGAAACCCACATCACGAAAGCCAAAAATCATAATAAAACAATGAAGGAGCTGACAGACAAAATGGTCAATACAGAAAAGAACATAACCAACCTGGTAGAGCTGAAAAACCACACTACTAGAATTTCATAATGCAATCACAAGTGTTAATAGCAGAAGAGACCAATCAGAGGAAAGAATCTCAGAGCCTGAAGACAGGCTTTCTGAAATAAGACAGTCAGACAAGAATAGATAAAAAAATAATAAAAAGGAACGAGCAAAACCTCTGAGAAATACAGAATTATGTAAAGAGCCCCAATCTACATTTAATTGGTGTCCCTGAAAGAGATGAGAAGAATGGAACCAATTTAGAAAACATATTTCAGGATATCATCCATGAGAACTTCCCCAACCTAGATAGAGAGGCCAACACTCAAATTTGGGAAATGCAGAGAATCCCAGTAAGATACGTCATTAAGAAGATCACCTCCAAGACACAGAATCATCAAATTATCCAAGGTCAAAATGAAAGAAAAAATATTAAAGGCAACTAGAGAGAGAGGTCAGGTCACTTACAAAGGAAAGCCCATCAGACTAACAGCAGACCTCTCAGCAGAAACTCTACAACCCAGAAGAGACTGGAGGCCAATATTCAACATTCTTATAGAAAATAAATTCCAACCCAGAATTTCATTTCTAGCCATATTAAACTTCATAAGTAAAGGAAAAATAAGCAAATGGTGAGGAAATTCATTACCACCAGACCTGTAGTGCAAGAGCTCCTGAAGAAAGCACTAAATATGGAAAGGAAAGACCATTACCAGCTTCTACAAACACACATTGAAGTACACAGACCAGTGTCACTATAAAGCAACCACATAAATAAGTCAGCAAAATAACCATCTAACATCATGATGACAGGATCAAATCTACACATAGAAATACTAACCTTGAATGTAAATAGGCCAAATGTCCCAAGACACAGCGTGGCAAGTTGGATAAAGAACCAAGATCCACTGGTATGCTGTCTTCAAGAGACCCATCTCACAAGCAATGACACACATAGGCAAAATAACAGGTTGGAGAAAAATCTACCAAGCAAATGGAAAACAAAAAAGCAGGTGTTGCAATCTTATTAGTTTTAGATGAAATAGGCTTTAAACCAACAAAGACCAAAAAAGACAAAGAAGGGCATTACACATATTGGTAAAGGGTTCAATTGAACAAGAAGATCTAACTATCCTAAATATTTATGCACCAAACACAGAAATATCCAGATTCATAAAGCAAGTTCTCAGACACCTTCAAAGAGACTTAGTCTGACACTCAATAATAGCAGGAGACTTTACCACCCCACTGGCAATATTAGATCATTGACATAGAAAATCAATGAAGATATTCAGGACCTGAACTTAGCACTGGATCAAATGGGCCTGATGTACATACACAGATTTCTTGAAATGAAAACAACAGAAAATACATTTTTCTCATTGCCACATAGTGCATACTCTAAAATCAATCATATTTGGAAGTAAAACAGTCCTTAGCAAATGCAAAATAACTGAAACCTTAACACTCAAATTGGAAATTAAGACTAAGAAATGAACTCAAAACTGTATAATTACGTGGAAATTGAATAACTTGATCCAGAATGACTTTTGGGCAAATAAACCAATTAAGGCAGAAATCAACAAGTTCTTTGAAACTAATGTGAACAAAGATACAACATACCAGAATCTCTGGGACACAGGTTAAGAGGGAAATTTATAACACTAAATGCCCTAACAGATATTCCTAATTAAAAAGTTAGAAATATCTCATGTTAACAACCTACCATGACAACTAAAACAACTAGAGAACTAAGAGCGAACAAATCCCAAAGCTAGCAGAAGACAAGAAATAACCAAAATCAGAGCTGAACTGACAGAGACTGAGACACAAAAACCCATTCCAAAGATCAATAAATTCTAAAGCTGGTTTCTTGAAAAAATTAATAAAATAGGTAGACCACTAGTTAGACTAAAAAAAATGGAAAGACAGAAAATGCAAATAGACACAATCAGAAACAACAAGGGGGATATCACCACTGACCCCACAGAAATACAAACAACCATCAGAGAATACTATGAACACCTCTCTGCCCATAAACCAGAAAATTGAGAAGAAATGAATAAATTTCTGGACACATACACCATCCAAAGGCTGAACCAGGAAAAAATTGAATCCCTGAACAAACCAATAATGAGCTCTGAAATTGAGTCAGTAATAAATAGCCTACCAATTAACAAAAGCCCAGGATCAGCTGGATTCACAGCTGAATTCTACCAGATGTACAAAGAAGAAGTGGTACTATTCCTGCTAAAACTATTCCAAAATATCCAGGAAGAGGGACTCCTTCCTAACTCATTCTATGAGACCAGCATCGTCCTGATTCAAAAACCTGGCAGAGACACAACAAAAAAGAGAAAACTTCAGGCCAATATTCTTGATTAACACTGACGCAAAAATCCTCAACAAAATACTGGCAAACCAAATCTAGCAGCACATCAAAAAGCTCATCCATCACAGTGAAGTAGGTTTTATCTCTGGGATGCAAGGTTGGTTCAACACATGCAAATAGGTAAATGTGATTCATCACATAAACAGAACTAAGAACAAAAACCATGTGAGATTATCTCAATAGATGCAGAAGAGGCTTTTGATAAAATTCAACACCTCTTCATGTTAAAAACTCTCAATAAACTAGGTACTAAAGGAACATACTTCAAAGTAATAAGAGCCATCTATGACAGACCCATGGCCAACATCGTATGTATGGGCAAAAGCAGGAAGCACTCCCCATGAAAACCAGCACAAGACAAGGATGCCCTCTCCCACCACTCCTATTCAACATAGCATTAGAAGTCCTGGCCATGGCAATCAGGCAAGAGAGAAAATAAAGGGCATCTATATAGGAAGAAAAAAAGTCAAACTACCTCTGTTTATAGACGGCATGATCCTGTATGTAGAAAAAACCACAGTCTTGGCCCAAAAGCTCCTGAAGCTAATTAACAACTTCAGCAATGTCTCAGGATATAAAATCAACATACAAAAGTCACTAGCATTCTTATACACCAACAACAGTCAAACCAAGAGCCAAATCAGAAATACAATCCCATTTATAATTGCCACCAAAAGAAAATACCTAGGAATAAAGCTAACCAGGGAAGTGAAAGATCTCCACAAGAAGAACTATAAAACACAGCTCAAAGAAATCAGAGATGACACAAACAAATGGAAAAACGTTCTGTGCTCATGGACAGGAAGAATCAATATTGTTAAAATGGCCATACTGCCTAAAGTAATATATAGATTCAATGCAATTCCTATTAAACTACCATTGACATTCTTCACAGAACTAGAAAAAACTATTTTAAAATTCATATGGAACCAAAAAGAAGCCTGGATAGCCAAGGCAATCCTAAGCAAAAAGAACAAAGCTGGAGGCATCACGTTACCCAACTTCAAACTATACTTACAGGGCGACAGTAACCAAAACAGCATGGTACTGGTATAAAAAGAGACACATAGACCAATGGAACAGAATAAAGAACCCAGAAATAAGACCGCATACCTAAAACTATCTGATCTTCAATAAACCTGATAAAAACAAGCAATGGGGAAAGGATTCCCTATTTAATAAATGATGCTGGGATAACTGGCTAGTCATATGCAGAAGATTGAAACTGGACCCCTTCCTTATGCAATATACAAACATTAACTCAAGATGGAATAAAGACTTAAATGTAAAATCCAAAACTATAAAAACCCTGGAAGATAACCTAGGTAATACCATTCTACACACAGGAACGAGCAAAGATTTCATGACAAAGACACCAAAAGCAATCTCAACCAAAGCAAAAACTGACAAATGGGATCTAATTAAAGAGCTTCTGCACAGCAAAGGAAATTATCAACAGAGTGAACAGACAACCTACAGAATGGGAGAAAGTTTTTGCAAACTATGCATCTGACAAGGGTCTAATATCCAGCATCTATAAAGAATTTAAACAAATGTACAAGAGAAAAATAAACTACCCCACTAAAAAGTGGGCAAAGGACATGAAGAGATACTTTTCAAAAGAAGACATACATATGGCCAACAAGCACATGAAAAAAAGCTCAGTATCACTGATATCATTAGTGAAATGCAAATCAAAACCATAAGATACCATCTCACACCAGTCAGAATGGCAATTATTAAAAAGTCAAAAAATAACAGATGCTGGCAAGGCTGCAGAGAAAAAGGTACACTTATACACTGTTGGTGGGAGTGTCAAGTAGTTCAACCATTGTGGAAGACAGTGTGGCTATTCCTCAAAGACCTAAAACAGAGATACCACTTGACCCAGCAATCCCATTAATGGGTATATACCCAAAGGAATAGAAATATTTTTATTATAAAGACACATGCACACATATGTTCACTGCAGCACTATTTACAATAGCAAAGACATGGAATCAACCTCAATGCCCAACAATGATAGACTGGATAAAGAAAATGTGGTACATACACACCATGGAATACCATTAAGTCATAAAAAAGAATGAGATTATGTCCTTAGCAGGAACATGGGTGGAGCTAGAGGCTATTATCCCTTGCAAATTAATGCAGGAACAGAAAACTAAGTACTACATGTTCTTCCCTGTAAGTGGGAGCTAAAAGATGAGAACACGTGGACACACATAGGGGAACAATACACACTGGGGCCTGCCAGAAGGTGGAGGGTGGGAGGAAGGGGGAGAGGATGAGGAAAAATAAATAATTGGTACTAGGCTTAATACCTGGGTAATGAAATAATCTGTACAACAAACTCCCATGACACAAGTTTACTTATATAAGAAACCTGCACATGTACTCCTGAACTTAAAAGTTAAATAATAAATAAATAAATAAATCATTTTTAAAATTAACAAAGAAAATCCTTCAAATCTCCCCAGGGCGAATGAGACTTGATCTGGGGGGCTCTTTAAGGCCAGCAGCGCATAAAATCCGAGGTTACAGAAGGGAGAAGCCACTGGCGCCATCCAGCACTCACAGAAACGGAATTTCTGGAAAAGCCAGATAACTAAGCAGCAGCTAATGCCCCTGAAGAGGATAAAGACCAATTATGAATAGAAAAGCTAACATACCAGGAGGCTCAAGCAGCCATCCCCAAATTCCTCACAGGCCGCCATGTGTCTTCGGGTGGCAGGCTCAGCACTGAGGTTTCCCATGATGGCAATGCACTGGCACAGAGCTGAGGAGCTGCTTACCTTGCGATCTGTCTTCTAAATGAGAATCGAAAGAAGGTAGAGCCTCAGAGAGCAGGCAAAGGATGCCGCATGATCTCTGGGTGAATTCCCCACTCACGGAAAGGCCCACGAACCAACCAGATAGCTTCATGTCACACAGGGGCATCCCTGGGGTCACACTGGCAACAGGATGGAGGCATATAAAGGGGTAGACCCAAAAGGGTCTTGGCCTAGGGCTTAATCCCAGCTCCTCCATCAACCAGCTGGGAGGACCTGGGCAAATCCCTTCCCTTCTCAGAGGCTCCATTTCCACAGCTGTGGCATGCTGGGGTGTAGTTATGCTCTCTAAGGGCCCCTGAAACTTCTAAGGTTCAATAGGGACAGGCTTCAGTTGCAACACACTCTCCAAGGAGAAGCCCTGCCCCTGACACTATTCACTGCCTTATCAGCTCAAATTGCTACACCAGTCTTCCTGACAGGATGACTTCCATTTGGGAACAGCGTTGCACATCGAACTTATTGTCAGCAGGGGACTGATGGAGACTGATGAACTCTATCCACCTTCACTTAAGATGCCACCCATATCCAGCTTTTCCTCCCCTGTAACCAGCGCCATCCATATGCCACCTCCACCTGTCCCTACTGTAGCTGTTTCAATAACTGACAATTGTGTAAATTCCAGCTGTGATTAAATGATTAATCAACCGAGAGACAATAGTTGTTGTGGATTGTAAACTGTGTTTAAACAGCCCCATTCACGCTGCTGAGAGTGTCTGTCACAGAGGGTGAAAATGAGGGTTTGCTCACCAGAACGCCCGTGAGTGCAGGGAGAACACCTGGAAGGTTGGCCTGGAACCAGACTTGGAATCTGTCGAGAAACCATCAGCCAGGATTTATTTTTACATTGCATAAACTATAACATAAATACAGTGTCTCAGATAATTAATGTTGCAAACTCTAGGTCCATATGATTTAGACTGTGCATGGAGAATTCAGAAACAAAAACAGAAAAAAACATGTCACTATGTATGTAATGCGGCTTTAATTTTTCTGAGTCTGGAGAATTGCCTTTGATGTTAAACAACAGATCTCAGATGGTGGCTCCCTTAAGCAGGAGTTGCTGGAATCTCTAGGCTTCTGCCAAGCTGACTTACCCCCAACCCCTGCTCTGAGTCTACAGCATGTGTGTGCCGTTCGGAAGGCAAATACCGTGCAAGCATGTTTACCCATCGGAGCCACTGGGAGGACCTGGATGCATGTGCATCTCCACACGCCACAGCCACTGTTCCATACCCCGGCCCGTGCCACCTGGCTGGCCTGCCTGTGAGCACAAGCAGCTCTCTCATCCCATTACCATCTTTAAGCAACGTGTCCTAAAATTTGTAAGGAAATTTAAAACACAAGATGCACTTTAAAAAAAAGCTCTTGAAAAATTATGAAAACTAAGACCCTTACTATCATCCCCAGCAGCCAGGCAAAACAAGACGAAACAACACAAAGCCATGGGGCAGAAGGAGGTCATTACTCATGATGTCACTGGCAACCCCAGAGGTGGCTGCATTTGATTGTTCATTCTTGCTTGCTGGCTCACTGGCTCACTCAGGTTCATTCAACGCGAATTTGCTGGGCAACTCCTACGTACCAGGCACTGATTAGAAGGAAGGTTGGTTCCCGACACTTTGGAGGCTTGCCTACTGTGAGAGGCACTGCTTTAAGTATGCTGCTGCTTCCAAACCCATGGAGGCCCAGGTCAGCCTCTAGGCAGAGTGACTAGAATGGGAGTGGGTGGCCGCAGCCCCCTGGGAGGCATCAGCCCTCCTTCTCAGTGAATCTTGCAATACTCACTTGGCGACTTGGCCTAGCCTCTCTGAATACGGCACATTTTTAAAGATCAGACAGTTCAACAAAGACTGAAGAAGACATGTCAATTTCTATAAATAAAAAAAAATTACCTTTCTTCCAGAGCCAAGTCTGTGAACAGTCCCATAGCAGTGTTGGCCTCCTTATCCGAGAAATCAAGAAATGACACCAGGGCTTCCAATAATCTGCAAAAAACCATAATAACCTCAGAGGTAGCTGTCCTCCAACTAACAACATCCCAACAGGGTAACCTTGCAAGGAAACAAAAAAGGAGTCAGCATCCGGGTGAAATAAGCAGAAAGGGTGCCTTGCCATGCCCTCCTAGGAAGCCTAGCTCCGTGCCCACCCAGAGACAGACACTCTTAAGTGGTTGGCTCCACCACTTAATGTGAATCCCCAGAATGCTGAATACTTTTAACCAAAGTTTATTGATTATCGGACGCCAGCTCAGAAGGAGTTTCTGGGACTCTGCCATGTGACTCTGGCTCAGTCAAGTTCATTAACTTAGATGACATCTAAATGGCATGCTTACTAATCTGCTGATGACTAAAGTGGGAGGGCCCCCTAATAAGGTGGGTGATGGAATAAAGATTTAACAAGATTGTGACAGGCTGCTGAATATATTAGATTAAATTTAATAGGGTTAAGCTCAAAGTCCTCCATTTAGAGCTGGAAATTCTGCATAAGTAACAGAATTGTGAGACCTGGTTTATAACTGGTTCATATGAGAAACATTTAAGGATTTTTAGCCACTTACAAACACAAAATGAGCAAACAGTCTAACACAGATGCCAAAAAACACCTGATACAATCTCAGGCTGCCCAAATGGACTTACTGGCACCACGACAATGGAAGTAAAAGGAATTTGTTCATCCAGCAAACTTGCATTAAGCATCTACAAGGTGCTAAGTATACTGTGCTCAGTACTGAGCTCCTGGTCTCCTACAGTGATACATATGTAAATAAATAAGATAAACTGTCTTAGGTGATATGTTAGAAACAGACACATGTTGAGGGGACCAGAGTCTCGCTGGTGGGAGGTGTGGGGATGGAAGTGAAGAAGCCTTCAATAGATGACACTTCAGTGTCTCTTGAAGTATAGTGTTAGCTATTCATTCGTTTATCCATCTGACCAATCACAATGAACAAGCACTGACTGCGTGCCAGGCAATGTGGTCGGTTCTGGGGTCCTAACAATGAAACAAGAAAATGTCCTGGTTCCAGGCAGCTTGCAGGCCAGTGTCGGGCCCACGGGGACGGGTACAGAGGCATGTCAGGCAAAGTCGCCTGCAGTCACAGACTACGTGGGCATAGAATTGCAGGCGCACATTTGGGGACTGCTGGCATGCAGTTAATACTTAGGATGTGAGGGGAGAACAGGGGACGGTAGAGAGCTGGACAGAGCCCAGATCCTGGGGGCCTTCTAGGGCCTGCTAGAAAGTCTGTACTTAGCCCTGTAGGCCCCTGTTCTCCAATGTGTGGTTGGTGGTGGGGGTCTCCGGGACAGATTCCTCAGTCAGTCTGAGTGGGAGCAGGCTCCAGGAGGCTGCTTTTTCATGAAGTCCTCATGTGATTCCTAGCCATTATATTTCTCAGTAACTGGAGAACCAGCCTTACAAGGAAGTCATTTCAGTGTGTTAAGTAGGAAAATAGCAGAACAGATGTACATTTTAGAAAAATTCCTTCAGTGTATATGGGGGCTGGATTGGAGCAGGTAGTACAGGAGGCAGGAATTCAACCAGGGGAGAACTGTGATTGTCCAGACAATAAAGGCTAAGGGACCAGACTGAGGCAGCAGCAGAGTAAGAAGCACCGTAAAAACACAAAGAGACACTCATGAAGACCTGGAAGAAATGACTGGAGAGAGTAGAGGAGAACTAGAAGAAAACGAATTCAGGAGATGCTAAGGAGAAAGAGCTGGCAGCATACTGTCTTATGGATGTGGTGAGGGAGAGCCAGGTCACTTCCAGGACACTGGCTTAGGCGACTGGATAGGTGGAGATACCCTCTATGAAGACAGGAAATTCAGGTAGATGAACTGGTGTGAGACCACATTTTGATTTATTAAGTCAATGATACTTGTGGATGTTGTGATAGAGATGTCCAGTAGCAGAAGGGTATTTTCATCTCACACTCAGCAGAGTGAGACTTACACCCTTTGCTTCTTGATGAAAGCCATGGATGGGAAGAGGGACAAGGGTAGGATCCCAGGGTCCCTGACTTGGAAGGGTGATAGCATAGCGGGGCTTGCAAAGGAAACCACAAAGGAATAGCCAGGAGGTAGGAGGGGGGCCAGGAAGGATGGTGTCCTGACAATCACTGTGATGGAGTTTCAAGAAGAGTAGTGATCAATAGGACCAAATGCCACAGGACAGAGAAGGGTGAAGACTTTGACCTTGACATCTTTAAGAAAGACAGATGACAGGCTATCAGACTGGGCTTTTGGGAATATGAACTCCAGTCACCCACATCTATGGTGCTGGATCTATTTAGCCACTTATTCTAGGAGTGGTCTGGAGGCCAAATCATCAAAGGAATGATGGAGGTAACAAGGATGCTTAACCTGAAATATATCAGTATTTTCAGAGACCTAAGGTACTGGAAAGCTGGAAGGAGTCTGGGCCTGGGCTTCAATGTATGGAGGCAGAATCAACCCCAGAATAGTATGGGGCAGGCAACTTACGCACAGTGTAAGGAGATAATTTATATCAATCAGAACTGTCCTGAAATGGACAGTTGGCTACCTTGGGAGGTGAGACCCACAGCCTCTCACTAACTGGGGACAGACTTCCTCCACCCAGTCTATTAGCTGCATTAGTGCCCATCCCGAATCAAATGGAGATAAAAATAATGAAAACTGCTGGCATCTCCCCTGGAGGGCATGATGCACAGGCTGTATGGGGGTATGCAGAGGACATCTATGCTGAGTGGGGCTTGACTGGATGGTTTCTGAGGGCCCAGGTGACACCGAGCTTCTGCAAATCCCTAACATCTTCAGAAATGGATTCCAGTGTTCCTGCTGTCAAAAACAATTTATTCGTTTTACAGTCAGTTCAGATTCTTCCTTCACCAATTTAAACCTATTTTCTTCGGTCTTGAAAATAAATGCTAATGAACCTGAATAGCACAGATGAGACAATAGCCTAAGACCATCTTGGCTTTGTCCTGAGAGACATAAACAGCTAGCCCCCCTCTCTATGTGACAATGCACACATCCTAACCGAACTCAGCACCTACAGAGGACGGTGTATCCCTTTCTCTTTCCTCACATACCCTCTTTCATGGTGGCAGATTTTCTGCTCTACTGATAAGCAACTGTCTCTGAGTGAACCACAGGTCAGAAAACGCTTTCACGTAACCAATAAATGCATGGTTACTTCAGTTTAGGACCCTGAACAATATTCCCTAAGAGAAAATGATTATAAAAATATTGAGCCCCTATCATACCATGTGTCAGGCTTGCTTGATGTTAGTTGCTTTTTTTTTTTTTTTCTCTAGCAGATGCTGTTTGCTGGCTAACCCCACAGATATTCTCCATTCCCTTCTATTCTTCCTAACTCTACTACAGAAGAAGCTGGGATCATTTTTTTTTCCACTAGGGGTAGCATGTGACAAAATTCTGTCCAAAGAGAAATAGGCAGTAGCTTTTCTTGATAAAAGGGACAGATCCAGCTGGTGTTGACCTGTCTTAAAGAAGGATGTGAAGCTTGGAGTTGCAGCAAGAGGGAAGGTATGACCATGTGAGGAAGGTCAAGAGAAGGGCAGAGACTTTGACCTCGACATCTTTAAGCCCCTGCACCAACAGCTGCTATCTTTAGTCTCATTTTATTAGGTGAAAAAACAAGCCAGGCTTTATTTTGCTTAAGCTCCTTTTGCTCAAGTATTCTGCGTAATGCAGCAGAAAAAATTCAACTGCATCACCCTCTGTAAGTGTCATCGTAAGTGAGTGATGCAGATGAGATGCCAGGGCCCGTCAGTGCCTGGGTCACACAAGCAGAGACATGCAGGGAATTGAAGCTCAGTACTGCTTAAGACTAAAACCCAGCCCTTTTGACAAAATGACAGTGGTCCTTGGCCAGCACACATTCATGCCTTCAACCTCTTCTCTGAGGATAAGCATTGTGGGAGGAATGTAATAAGTGTGCTGCCGAGACGGTCATGGGGCTATGCGCAGCCCTGTCTTGCTTCAAACTGCCTCATTTCATCACAGAGAACCCATTCTGTCTGGTTCAACTGGAGATGCACGTTAAGGAGGCTAGTGGGCATAAAAGTAAAAAGCTGAGGTTTCTCTGACTGTCTAAAGAGAGTAGGCAGGACCACATGAGGTGATCGTGAACGCCACTCTGCGAGACACTGGAAAAATGCACATTGAAACTCAAGCAATTCAAAGATAGCTTGAGGGGAAAAGCCCATGATAGCTATAGCTACATTTACTCAAAGAGACAAAAACAATATTAAAAAAATGCGATGAAGGTACTGAGGAAATGACTGCAGTCATTTGAAATGCGAAATGTGCTTTTGGGGAATTTAAGTCCACTAACAATCTGCATCTGCCGCGCAGCCTCAGCTTCAGTGGCTTGCCAAAGCCTTTCCCGGGAGCCACTGCGACTGTGACTGGGCCTGGAAGGGGAGCCGTAGGCAAGGCTTAATAACCACCCTGTCACGGCACACATGGACCTCCACACCAAACTGGACCGTGTGGGAGGGCTCGGCAGGGTCCTAAAAAGATCTGGAAGGAACAGGAGCCAGCTGCAGCAGGTCTGGCTCCTTTTCCTACTGAGAACACAGAGTGGAGCTGGGTCCTCAGAACAGTACCTGGGGGCTAGGCTAGTTGGGTGAGATTCCCGTGGTTCCTTGCTGTAGTTCTTCCTGCCCCATGAGTGACATGAGGTAATAAAGCTTACCTTGCCTACCTCGCAGCATGAGGGGAGATAAAACAAAATAGCAGTGAACAAAAAAACTCAGAAGGGTAATCTCCTGTTTTTAGATTGTGTGAGAAACGTTTATAAAGCAAGTTACAATAATCGCCACTGTTTCTGTTAGATTGAACCACATGAAATGGCGGGCATGCAACCTTTTAGATCTAATAAGTGACAATTTCATATGTTCAAACTAATCGTGTAAAGATAAATAAACTGAAAACTTAATAAAAGTAAATAAATGAATAAGTAAAACAAGTAAGCAAAATAACAAATAAATAAATAATTTTAAAATGAAGTAATAAATTATAAAGAACTGGGCGGAATCACTGTGATTCAGTAATCTTTCTAGAAAGTCTACTTAGGGGACACACATTCTATGCTCATAGTCTTACACTTTGGAAAGACCTCCATTCAACAGTATTCGAAATGTTTTGTTCATTCGTAGTGCATCTTGTTCCAGAAAGGGTTTAAGGACACATAGAATAAGATAGGATTACCTCAAATAAGAATGAAAGAAGAAAAGGAAGGGTAGGAACAGGGTAGAGATAGGACCGAGGCCAAAGGCACAGAAGCAAGTAACCTATTTTAAGGTGGGGCTCCTGATCTGGCTATGGAAGGGCTGCCATTTGCACCTTTTGTGGGATGGGGACAAGCCAGTTGCTCAGGAGAAGTGAAACTGTCCATGGTACCAAGTTCAGACAGGAGTCTGTCTCAGAGGTCCTCATGACAGGGCACTCTTGTCAAAGGCTCTTTCTGTTATTGATCCTTCAAGTCACGCATCAGAGATATAAGGGGGAGACAGGCACGCCTGAACTTGTCAAGTGATGACACGAGATGTCCCAGGAAGATCCTGCCAGCAGAGGCTTACCTGGTCAGGTCAAGGTGGCTGATGATCAGGCTCCGTCCGCTCTCAGTCTGGGCGAGCTGTAGCAGCAGGGCAAGGCTCTGCTGCCTGATGGCCAGGACCTTGGAGGACAAGAGGGTGGCCAACAGCCTGGCCCTGTCAGGGTGCATCACTAGCACACGCTGATTTTCCTCTGCAAAACACAGGCGTTGTGTGTCTTGTGCGTGCCATCACGGCAATTAAACTAGCTCTGTCGCCCTCTCTCCTAATGGGAAACTCAACTGGTGCCCACTCATTTGAAGGCAGATAATGAAGTGTAAGAGTGTGGATTCTAGAACCAGACTGCTGGGTCTGAATGCCCAGGGGAGTGACCTTACCAGTGCTCCTTGGTCTCCTCATCAGTAAAACGAGGATTACGTTCCTATCTACAGGGACGTCATGAGGATTAAATGAATCAGTACCTGACTGTGCCAGACAGGGACTGGCACCCAGAAATCAACTATGTCATTATTATTGTCAAGCCTCCTTGGTGTGTGGTATCTGGAAACACTAGCAAAGGGAAATAAATCAGTTTGTTTGTGGAATGTCTTTAGACCATCAATATTCACACAATGGCTAGAGTGGTCATTTGAGGAAATGTTATCCAGGAAACTAGAATATCACATGAGAGCATTAAAGAATAAAGTGTGCCCTCCTTCCTAGAACATAAGCTCTTCCAGGGTGGTGGCAGTAGATTTATCCCCTTTCGTCTGCTTCATTTTCTGACCAGGTACATGAATTTGTTTGAAACTGCAGGGTACAGACTGCAGTATGAGGCTAAGCTGTGAAACAGAGCAAACTGGCTCTCAAAGGGGTGGGTCCCATCACATGGACCTCATTACCCTAGGCTCTCTCCCCTCCTGTGCTAATTGCCCATTTACACACAGCACACAGCATCCAGGAGAAGACACACACCAGGTTTCTGCTTGCCCTGAAAGAGCCGGAGTAACAGGACTGCAGGATCCTATGTGTAGCCCACATATCAAACCATGTTTTCGTTACAAACATTACATCTCAATCCCACACTTCACCTATAATTACTCTTGTCCATGTAAGATAGGATGTACTGATTTCTGAAATGGAAAGGTCCTTGTTGATTATATATTTTTTTCTTATACTAGAAAAGTAGCTTGATATAAATAATTCAGACAACACAGAGTTGATACCCCTCCAGGTAAGCCCATTCCCCAAAGGAGGCATTATTCACCTCTCATATAAATAATGTGTAAAATATTATACATCCTACCCTGTAATTGGCTTCTCTTCCCTACTCCACAATAGATCAGTGACATATTTTCATGTCCTTACTTTTAAGCATTCCCTTGCCCTTTTGAAAAACTGCTTTGCATTTATTGAGTTAGATATATCAAGATTTTATTGACCTGAGACACAGCATTTACATCACAGGTATCTGAAAATATTTTTCAGATGATAAAAAAATGTAACTGTAAGGTTCACAGAAACGATAAATAGGTTCACAGAAATAAATAGATTGTTATGTCAGGTTCACACTGAGTAGACATACCATTGCCAAGTCCTGCCTTCCTCACCCTCCTGTAGGGGAGTTTGCAAAAACACTGCCCTAAGCTGGTGCAGGGTCTTACACAGAGTAGCAAGGCACCTTGACAATGAGAGTAGTCTGGGCATAATTCCCCTTAATCCTTGTCAGGAAATAGGCCCCCCAATTGTCTAGATTTTCAAGAGTTTAATTTCTTAAGTTTTTGATTCCTCTACTCTACTAAAAAAAGAAAAAAAAAGGCATTATCTCCTACTTAACATCTCAGAGTATACAAACTGCATTCACAAGCCCTATTGCTGGCTGCCCACAGTAGCCCTGTGAAAAGGAGACATAGCTATTGTCATCCCCATTTTCAGTGTTTCTGTCCAGGGTCAAACTTTTTCCTATGAAACATACTTCTTAAAAATGACAGAAGTAAGTAAAATTTGTATTTACATTGAAGTTACAAAAGAGATTAAGAAAGATTATACAAAAACGTAATGAACCCTGGAAGATGCAAATATGTGAAAAGCCTAAGAGTTAGCCCAGTAAATAAAATGCCCGTGGCATTCTACTACCTCAATTCTAGATGCTAATTAGTGTCTGAAGATATCGGCGGGCATGACTGTAAATCTCAGGACGCTGGAAAGGTACTGTGGTTAGCAAAAAGGAATATTTTAGGCTGACAAGAAAAGAAAAACTCCATCTACCTCATTGCCAGTGCATGAACAGAAGTCATGAGTCTGCAAAGAGCAGGAGGAGAGGAGAGAGGAGACCACTCATTATGCTGACAACCTCCTCCCTTCACTGACCTCACCCCTCATCTGTCTACCTTGCTTTTGATCCATAAACTTTCCTGGAGGGAGCGGGTGTGTGGGGAAGTCTAGACATCAACTCTCCAGGGCCTGGCCTTTGGGGAAGACAGTCAGCCCAACAGCAGACTCCCTTGCACGCAGCGCATTAATGGTGATCAGTGGTGATTACCCAGGCTTACCGTTCCCACAGCACACTGCTTGCCAGAGCTTGAGAACAGACACACAGACCGTCTCTTCAACTGCATCTTTTCCTGCTGTGGAAAAACACCTAGAATGGACAAAGGAGGGCCATCTTAAAAGTCTGAAAATCAAGACTGATTTTCAGTCTTGATTTTCTCTTCCATTTGGTTTTATTTCATCCCAAGATTTGCCAAATGCAGGTTTCAGAAAGTATAGTTTTATAATCCAGAGCCATGGGTCACCAGGATCAATCATGGAACCATGAGTCCCAGGCCAAGGACGCAGACTGAGGAAGCCTGGACTGTACAGAGGCTAGGCAGTGAGCCAGTGCCATGGGTGATGGCTGCACTGGGACCAATGGACTGTGGCTGAGCACACAGACATGTACTGGTGACTCCAACTCACACCGTTATCCTAAGCCTCAGGAAGCACACCAGAACGACTGAAATTAAAATACAGTCACTTTAGCAAACTGCCTCCTACCATACAGGTCTTTCTTCAGATGAAATTATAAATGGGATTGGGCCATTTACATTTGTATCACTCTTGATATGATCAGCAAATTCCAAAAGAAGAAATGAACAAATGACAACCTTGCAAAAATTGGTGGGAAAGCAGCAAGAATGATAATTTCTCTGACTTTGAAGAGCTTAGAGGAGCCCTGGGAAGTGCTGCTGTTCCTCTCTCTTCAATTGTTTTTTTTTTGAGACTGAATCTGGTTGTATCACCCAGGCTGCAGTGTAGTAGCGTGATCTTGGCTCACTATAACCTCCACCCCTCAGATACAAGTGATCTTGTGCCTCAGCCTCCCGAGCAGCTGGGATTACAGGTGCCTGCCACCATGCCCAGCTAATTTTTGTATTTTTAGTGGAGATGGGGTTTCACCATGTTGGCCAGGCTGGTCTCAAACTCCTGACCTCAAGTGATCCGCCCGCCTTGACCTCCCAAAGTGCTGGGATTACTGGCATGAGCCACCATGCCCAGCCTCACTTGTTAACTGCATTGTAACTCCAGTGACTTTAAGGCCAGCACTCAAAGATGTTCGTGTAGTAGCTTCGCACTCCTGGAGAGCCCCCCACTACTGATTGAAGGGTGGTAATGTTCAGAAATGTGACTGTCTATGTGCCTCGTGTCTGATTTCATAAGAAGTGGTTATCTTCCCTTGCTTTGATGCTGGGCTGTCTTTATGAACATCCTTACCTTCTTATGACCTCGTTGTCACTGATGATACTAAATCCATTGTGCATTCTGAATAAAGTTTGTTCTGTGCCTGAAACAGATACAGAGAAAACCACTTTAGACTCCCAAACTGGCTGGCTGGTGTCTAGCTGCGACATAGCCACCTGCTAATGAGAAACCTAATATGGAATGTCACGGTGCCCACATGAATGATTTGGCAGAAACAAATAAACTTTACATTTTGAAAAATACAATTGTCAGCAACCTCTCAGTGTCAGAGGCCTCAGTGCCTCTCAGGCAGAGGGACTGTTTAGAGAAGGAGAACAGAGCTGGGGTGGCCCCGAGGGCTATCTGCACAGCTCATCATTCTGTAATCTTTAGAGAGCTTCCCAGAGCTGCTTAACCTATGGGAAGTACCAGCATATCCATTTGTTCTTAAATATTTATTTCAAAGCTATTTCCAGGCTCTAGAGAGGAATTTATAATCTCCAAGAAACTGCTAAAGGGGGTATTTGTATGTCCTCCATTGTACACTAAAGAGAAGTCAGACACTCCATCTATTTGTACAAACAACATGCTGTCACTGAGTATAGAGATTATTTAAGCCTTGGTAACAATGTTTACAAGAGCTAGTAAAAGAAAACAGTATGACCCTCATTAGTAGGAGAGCTGATGTTTGCTCTGAAACCATTTTCACATCCTAAGCAGCCATTCAGTGTAACTGGGTGAACCTTACAGTTTAACCTATAAAATTCTGTCTTCCATTCCTCCACGGTGGAGGGAAAGTGCGCGAGGTGGTATGGGATGCTTGAGGTGTCTGTGGGGGTATATGTGGAGTACATGCAGGATGTGCATGGGGTGTGTGGAGAAAATGTGAGGGTGGAGTGTGCGCAGGATATGTGGACTGACGTGAGTACTTATGGTGTGAGTGTGCTGTGTGCGGTATGTGGTGTGTGTGTAATATAAGGATATATTCAAGTGAGTGAAAGCTGAGCGCATGTGTGGTGTATGTAAGTATATATGGAGCGTGTGCCATGTGTATGTGTGGTGTTGTGTATGTTTCTTACATGTGTGCTGAGTGTACACACGCTCTGTAGAGAGGACGGAGCAGAGGCGGGAGGACATTCTTGTGCACCCCTTTTAGCAGCTACATTAGAGTACATCCTCAATCAATATTTGCGGAAGAAAGGGAGGGATTCTTGAAGGCAGACCTCTGAACATGTCCCTTCACACTGACAGCACTCGTGAGATCACACACATCTCTGGCTTACACTCCTTTATCATTTCAGTCAGGATCTCAATCCCCCCTGCATAGAACAAGGGGATCTGGTCAGGCTTGGAAAGGGTCTCCAGGAGGTTCTTAGTGTTCACAGCTGTATTCTTTCCTGAATCCAGCAGTTCGTGGGCTTCCTTTTCTTGAAGGTCTGCTTTTTCCTGAAGATCTACTTGATTCAGGTAATCTAGAAAAACCAGAAAGGAAAAGCAAAACAAAACCCTAACAATCAACAATACCACACAAGAAGCAACCTTTTTTTTTTTACTTTCTTTTGAGGATGGGAGTTTGAGAAGCATAAAGCATTAAAATAATTAAAACTCTTCTTTAGCAAGGAAAATTTTAGAAACAGTCTAAATCTACAACCAGAATCTTAAACCTTGTTGGAGATTCAAGGGAGTCTAAAAGTGTCTAAGGGAGGATGGTGTAGAAAATGAAGAAGGCAAATATTAATATTTGCAAGGGATTACAGCAAGCAGAGGAGCAGAGTGGGCCAGTTCACACAGAAGACTGAACTGTGCAGGAAAGAGGATCCGCTGCTGCCTCGTGGCCAAGGGCAGTGAAAGCACGGAAGGCATTCTAAGGCAGGAGGCAGAGGGAGGTGGAGTTCAGACAAGGGGTCTCAGCAGGAACATACTCACCTTTCACCTGGGTTTGCAGCTTGGGGTTTATTTCTAAGATCTTCTTATAGCACTCTCTAGACTAGAAAAAAGAAACAAGACCTTGAAGAGTGGTTGGGGTAAACGTGATTATGAGAAAGACAATGGGTGTCATTGGGCTCGGCTGCTTCATTATTTTCTCCACGCCTCCTCCTGCTCCCAGTGCAGGAGGCAGGCACAGGAACACAGTGTGCATTTGACATTTTGTTCAGGCTTCTCCAGTTCTAGGGGGCAACAGGTATTATTTCAAAATTTGTTTTAAAGAAACAGTGTTGTTAGATGCTCATGATGAAAAATATCCAGTCTTAAATTCTTGTGGATCATGTCTGTCTGGGATAGAAATGATCATAAAGTAAATGCAAAACTTAGATATGATATTTGCACTGAGAGAGCACAGAAGGCTGTCAGATATGTCCATAGGGAGTTAGGAAATAAATGAAACTAGAGGCAATGTTGACAGAGACTCGGGAATAGGAAAAGAGAACTGCCTAGTTAAATGTACAGGCTGTGAAGAGAACCAGTAAGGGATCCATTTATTGGCCACATAAGAGTCAGCCGGAAAACTCAAGAGTGAGGGCTTCTCATTGAGGAAATTGCTAGATAGAAAGTTACTGGAAAAATGAAGATTCTAGTTCATAGGATTCCTGGGCTTAGTGCTGTATTTCTCACAGGAATATAAGAACTGCCCAGAGTATAATCTAACCAGTCACCTAGAGAAAAAGCTCAGAAAAAAAAAAAAACACCCCAAAAGAAACAAACAAACAAACAGTTCTGAGATAATCTTGAAGGTTCAAAGTTCGTCTAGAAGACTAGAGTTAAGAAACAAACTGAAGGAAAAAATAGCACATTAAAGTAGAGAACGGTGTCGCAGGAACAGAAGTCTATACATCAGAGTGACCCTGTATCCAACTTCTCTTCAACCCTAGATCTAACCTAGCAACAATTTTTGTTGGCTTCACTGTCAGTAAATATCCAAAATCCCATCACTTCTTACCACCTCCATCACTACCAACCTGGTCCCCATCATCACCTCTTGCTTGCATATTTATTGCAATAGCCTTATCACTCGTTCTCTGTTCTTATCTTACCATGCCAAAACACATGCTCGGTCTAGCAGTCAGAGTAATCCTTTATAAGTCAGATCATTTAATTCCTTTACTCAAAATCCTCCAATAAAGCTTGAAGATCACTCAAAGTAAAAGCCAAAGTCCTTTGAAAAGCTTGTAAGGCCCTACAGGATCAGCCCCTTCCCCACCCTTATCACCTGTTTGACCTCATCTCCTGTTGCTCTCCTCTTGCTGGCTGCATTCTAGCTATCCCTCCACCAGGAATTTATTCCCTTATATATCCACATGGTTTGCTCACTTCACTCCCTCCATTCCTTTAGAAAGCCTTTTCTTACCACTCTATATAAAACCAGTCTCATCTTTACTGCTTCCTGATTTATTTTTCTCAGTACTACATACCACTATCTAACATAGTGCATGTAACGTACTACATATCTATTTGATTGTTTTTTGTCTCCTGGTCACCCTTACCCCAAGAACATGAGTTCCGTGAAGCCAAGGACTTTGTCTAGTTTCACTGATGTATTCTTTATTGCCTGTATTAACGGTGTCTGACACATAGAAAGCATGTAATAAATATCTGCTGAATGAATAAATCGAATGAGTAAATAAAAATCGGTGGACAGGGAAAGATTAACATTTCCTTTATTCATATTTCTTTTATTTAGCTTCATTACAATAAGCCTGCATTACATTTACAATTAAAATCCAACAAACTTTTAAAAAATGTATAATATGAAGCAATTTATTTTAAAGACATATCTTATAAATGGAAAGACATCCTATGTTCATGGATAGGAAGACTTAATATTGTTTAGATAGCAGTACTTGCCAAATTGACTTATGAATTCATGTAATACCCATCAAAATTCCATCCGGTTTCTTTGCAAAAATCGACACAATAATTTTGAAGTTCATACAGAAATTCAAGAGCACCAGAATAGCTAAAATAATCTTGAAAAAGTAGAGGAACCAAGCTGAAGGACTCTCACTTCTCAACTTAATACAAAGCTACAAAAATGAAGACACTGTGGTACTGACACAAGGACAGACATGTAGATCTATGGAATAAAACTGGAAGACCAAAAATAAACCCATATATTTATGGTCAACTGATTTTTGACAAGGGTGCCAAAATCACTCAATGGGGGAAAGAATGGTCTCTTTAACAAATGGTTCTGGGACAAGTAGACATCTACATGAAAAAGAGTGAAGCTGAACCCCAACCTCACATCATACAAAAAATGAACTCAAAATGGATTAGAGATAGCTAAATTTAAGAGCTAAGCCATAAAACTTTTAGAAGAAAATATAGGTATACATCTTCCTGACATTGGATTAGATGATCATTTCTTAGATATAACACCAAAATCACAAGCAACCAAAGAAAAAATAGGTAATTGAGGCTTTATCAAACTTAAACAATTTTGTGCTGCAAAGAACATCATCAAGAAAATGAAAAGGTAATACAAGGAGTGGAAGAAAATATTTGGAAATCATGTATCTGATAAGAAACTTGTATTCAGAATATATAAATGACATTTACATCTCATTATAAAAAAAAGAAATTTCTCCAAAGAAAATATATAAATGGCCAATAAGCACATGAAAAGATCATCAACATCATTAGTCACCAAAAAAATGTAGATCAATACCACAATGACATATCACTTCACACCCACTAGAATAGCTACAACAAAAAAATAGATAACAGGTATTGAAGAGGATGTGGAAAAACTGGAGCCCTCATACACTCCTGGTAGGAATGTAAAATGCTGCAGCCATTTTCAAAAACAGTTCGGTAGTTCCTCAAAAGGTTAAACACAGAGTTACCATACGGCCTTGCTATTCCACTTCTAGATATATACCCAAGAGGACAGTAAACATAAAAAAGAAAACCCTGCACATGAATGTTAATGGCAGTGTTATTCATAGCAGGCAAAAAGTGGAAACAACCCAAATGTCCATTAACTGATGAATAAATAAAACATGGTATCAAACAATGGAATATTATTCAGCAATAAAAAGGAACGAAGAACTGATACACACTACAACATAAATGTACCAGGCAAACATTATACTAAGTGAATGACTTCAGTTACAAAAGACCACAGATCGTATGACTCTATCTGGAATCTACAGAACAGGCAAATGTATAGAGACAGAAAGACTGGTGGTTGCCTAAGGTTGAGATGGGGCTGGGGGAAGGGGACTGACTGCTAATGGGTACAGGGTTTGTCCAGGAAGGGATGAAAATTTTTTAAAATTGATTGTGGTGGTGGCTGCCTGACTCTGTGAATATACTAAAAGCTACTGAATCATATAGTTTTTATACATTCTACAGATGAATTGTGTGGTATGTGAATTATATCTCAATAAAGTTACTTTTAACGATATAAAATATCTTAGTATGGATAGATGGATAGAGAGAGAGAGAGACAGGTTGACTGATCTGCATGGTTACTTTTGGGTGATGAGGTCACAGCAAATTTTGTTTTCTCTTTTTGCTTATGTATTTTCTCTCCAGAGACTGAACAGACACTGGTAGAGGATGTTGCAGAAGAGAGTCCTACAACTGGTGGAGCTGAACTGACACCCAAAATTCTTCCTAACTTTACGATCTTGAGCTTTACCTTGGAAAATACTGAAGGATGGACTGATACCTAATCAGCTTGGAGAATCATGGTTCTCCTCTAGCACAACTGGGAGCATCAGTCTGTGATCAAACATGTCAATTACATTCCTCTAAGAACTTACCACACTGTAGTTCTTCAGGGCCAGGTTGGCTTTTCCCATGTGAAAATATGCTTTTGTACATTTTTCATCACACTGCATAAAAGAGAATGACTGATCAGAAGTTTTAGAAGATGTGAAGTCATTTGCCACTCCCCTCACTACACAGCTAAAAGAGTTAAGGCGAAGCTTTGATTCTCAGGCAACTACCAGAATTGACAAAACTTTTTTGTGCATTTTGACCAAACTAATTGATGTCTGCAAGGAGCCTGGGTGCAGCAGCAAGCTCTTCACCAAATTAATTAATGATACCTGCCACTTTTCATTTCCATTTAATGAGACGCAATCAGGAAGCAAACCCTCAGTTTAGAAGAGCTCTTAACACTGGCAGAACATTAGAATCATCTAGGATGCTTGTAAAAATCCTGCCGGCCCTGCACCCCACATCAATTACATTATACTCTGGGATAAGACCCAGGCATCAATAAGTTTTTAAGCTCTCTAGTTGAGGTAAACATGCAGCTAAGTTTGAGAGTCACTGGTTTACTAGAAGAGAACTTACTCTAAGAAAATAGCTGAGGTTACCATTACATCTTAGTGGGCCTGGGAAGTCCCTCCTCCCAAATAAACCACAACATATGTACTGGGACCTTCTGTTCATATTACTTAAGATTAGTAGGGATGCCCCCATCAAAAGGCAGGATTGAAACTTATGGCTGAAACTAGACCATTTACACAGGGGGCCCTGCACCTGCCTGACCCTAGTCATTATAACTCCACAGGGAATGATTTGACAGAGACATACACTAAAATCTAAGACATCCAGTTAATGAACATTTATTGAACTTCTTTTATATGCAAGACATTGTGCCAAATCAGATGCCCTTCAAAGGTTTAGATATGAAGAGGTTAAGAGTTCAAGCTCAGGAGTCTAAAATATCCTGGGTGGATCCTTGTTCTGCTACTCAGCAGAAGTGGCATGTTGTTGGCCAGGCCGCCTAACTTTTCTGACACTCATTTTCCTCACCTGGAAAATGAAGACAATAATAGTATTTCTCTCAGGTTGTTGTGAGAAAGAAATTATGTAAAACACTTGGTGTGGCTCTGGGTAACAGAGTATTAGCTGCTATTGCTGCAGTTATATCAGCAGCAATTCATTTCAGAGCAAAAGAGAAAATCTAAATTTAATAAAAGAGAGCAGTAATAATAAGAGAGAAGAATAACAACAATAATAAAAGAGAGAACAATAATTGTTGGAGAAGCTTTTAGAGATACATTCTTGTGTATATCATTTCCCAATTCACTGCTAAGTGAATGGAAGTCATAATAAAAATAAATGTGCATGATTGTTCAGCCCAAACCATGTGCCAGGCACTAAGCTTTATGGTTCATATGGATGATCTCACCGAAGCTTTAAAACAACTCTACGAAGCAGATACAGTTATTATCCCTATTTTACAGATGTGAAAACTAGGGGTTGGAGAGGCCCAAGGTCACACAGGTAACAAGTGGAAGAGCTGGAATTTGAAATTTGGCCATTAAACTCTCAAGGGTTTAAAAATGACACCAAATCTCCTTCAGAAAGGTGCTACAGAAAAGAGCATATAAATGCTATAGAAAATGCTACTGAAAAAAATCAGTGGAAGAAAATATGCTTGAAAATGCAGTCTTTAAAAGAGCATGCAAAGGTGGAGGGATATGGGCTGAGTCTTAGTGACACGTAGAGGTGAAGAGAGGAGGATGGAGGGAGAGTGGGCTGGGCAAGAACTTGAGAGTACAAGGGGCTTTGGGGACAGTCCAGCTGGGATCGAGGGGCAGGTACTGGGTGGAGAGAAGATCCCATCTTGAGCCACACTGGAGGAGGGTGAGTCACCAATGGCAGTGTGGAGGTAAGCTGGTAGGAAAGTGGCATGCAGATGTGATCAGAGGAGGGAAAGGCTGAACAAGAGGTATGGTGGGCTGAACAATGAGAGATGAGTAAGGAGAGCAGAACAATCACTTAGAACAAGGGCTAATGTCTGAAGTCCTGGTGACAGTGGAAGGGAAAGGAAGTGCAGATGCCAGAGCTATGTCAAAGAAAGATATGACCAGCATCAACTAACTATCAGTGATAAGGGTGATGGAGGATGTGAAGTCAAAACCAGGGGCCTAGATACCTGAAAGACGTGGTGTGTCATTAACAGAAAGAGGTCAGCTAGGGCAGGGAGTGAGAAAGGCTGAGTGAGAAGATGAAGAGTTGGCTTCTAGACATACCGAGTTTCAGATGACATCAAGACTATCAAAAGGCACCTGCAGGAGGCAGCTGACATGCAGCCCTGGAGCTGGGGAAGGGGAGACTGGGGAAGTAGGTCTGAGAGCCATTTGCAGAGATAAGAGTTGAGCCCATGAGAGAAGAGAGCTGTAAAGGAGTAACTGTACAGAGACAAAAGACAGGGAGCAGAGGGGTGATCCCTCATGAATTCACAAAGGATAAAATTGAGGAAGCAGGAAAGGGATGGTCAAAGAGAAAAGAGGAAACTCTAGCACTTTAGCTCATGAAAGCCAAATATTCACAGTACATTCACTGGCAGAGCACCGGGGTTACGGCAGGTGGGGGAAACCGAGCCCCAAGCATTAAAGCCTTGTCCCCGACCTATCGTGTGTCACCGTGAAGTGCGGATAGCTGTGAATTTGCCTTCCTAAGACAATGACGCAAAAGGCTGCTAATGGATTTTTCTCACTAATAGGCCCATTCTCCTTTGACCATGTATCAACCCTCACGAGAATGTTCTTGGGTGAACCCCAGCTTCCCTTTAAAGGAATCCTGCCTTCAGAGGAAGATGTATTTCATTGTGCAAGAAGTGTTCTGCTGAGAAAGAAATGATTCTGGTCCTAATTGAAACCAGCTTTGCTGCCTTATCTTCCTTGACAAGAAACATCAGTCTTGAAATATCATCACATAAGCTTGTCTCTACCAATTTAAAAGTGTCAAAAAAGATTAAGTTGGCATGAAAGTACTCATACTATTAGTAACGGAGTGCCAGTGACATTCGCTATTGATACATTAATTTTAAAGAGAGCAAAAGTTTTAAATTCACAGCTGCAACATAAAACAAATCATTATTAGTTTTTAGAACTCTTTGTACATTTTTTTTTCTCATTTCTCCAAGTGTTTACCCAAACCTCTTCAACTGGGAACCTCGCTGGGCATTTAACAAGATTGGCTGCTGAGTGTCAGCGTTTTTTAATGTCAGCTCCATTGGGCCTGCTTGGCCTCGGTTTCACTGTTAATTACACTGTACTTCAATTAACATTTGGGAACAGGCCAGTGTGTTATCCTGAATCAGCATGATGGTATGTCTGCCCCTTTGGCCTTTTTCAGATCAGAAAAGATACTCTTGGTGAACCTGTGAGCAGATCATGTTTCTTCCACAGATGGGAAAGACATCCACACCCAGGGATTATGGGGTTCAAAGTTGCAGTGGAGAGGCCCTTTATAGAGGTTAAGAGCATGGGCTTAGAGTTAGACACTAGCTTCATGATCCTGCACAAAGTACTTAATTAATCACTGAGGCTTGATTTCCTCATCAGAAAAATAGAGAAAATAGTGACACTGAACAGAACAGAATAGAATTTTGTGTGCATGCAGCAAATGATGTTGTTTGCTGTTATTATGGAAAAACCAAGGAAAACATCCTTGCCTCTCTCTTCTCCTGCAGAATAATGGTAGAAAAAGAAATCATTATCAGGCAAGGCAACAAAGCAGGTTAGTGGACCTATGATGGAGCTCTGAAGAGCTTGACGTCATCAGCTTTGGCCCCAACCTTATAACTTAAAGACTATACCCATGCAATGGAACAAAATTTGCCACACATTGTATCTTCTAAGGGATAAAGAAATTGGACACTCCAGATGTCAGTGTTAAGAGGATCCCTAGTGTTTTATTAATGATTATAAGCAGAGGTGACTTTCTCATTCATCCCGGTTTCCTTTGCTTACCCTCTCAATAAGAAATAAAGCAGATATGGCCAGTATGCTGCTAGGAAAGTGTCCTCTTGTTTTGGGACATACTCATTAGGCTAGGGTAGCTGTGCTGTACCCAAGAATTGAAGCCACAGGATAAACTTGGCACATTCTCCTGGCACCTCAATTTTACTTGATTCTAAGTTATTGAAAATAATGCTGTTATATCAAAACAAACAGATAACTTTCATGAAGTGCTGTGCAAAATTAACAAGGTTTTTAAGGTAAAACACACATCTTAAAAGAAATTTCATGCTTTCTGCTTCTAGTCCCTCTCGAGGGGCTCATGTCCATTCTCCTCTGCTGTTAGCAGCAAGTGCAGAAGTCTGAGAAGTACTAGTTTTGGTTACTTAGTTAAAACCCCCGTGACAGAGTAATTCAGGGGAATGTGGATTAAGGGTTACTTAAATATTTGGTCATGTCCCTAAAAAGCGAATGTTTCATTTCTCTTTTAGTAACTCTTAACATTTCCACCAACAGTCTTTACGTCTATGCATCTTTCACCATTTATTTTGGCAGATTTCAGAGGAAATGCCATGCGTAGAATTATTTTATCTGCCCAAGGCCTGACTAAAGTTGAAAAATAGGAATTCTTTCTTCTGATTATTCCTTTACAAATAGAGGATGCTATATTTCCAAATTATTAGGGCTGGAGGGAAAAAACACAAACTGACAAGGAAGAACAGCATTGCAGCATTGCAGAAATCAGCTCCAACAGCTGGCTCCGGAAGAGAGAAGGAGGCATTTCCACTAACACATAGAGCAAAGTGTCTGATAACACAAGAGTAAAGAAGGAGCCGTAGTAATACAAGACACTGAAAATTCAATAGCAGTAGCTCCCTGGATTGCTTTCTAGGAACTAGGCACTTTCTGTGCATTGTCATGACCCTCCTAACAATTCTATTCTATCCAATTCTATTCTATCCCATTCTACAGATGAAGAAACTGAAGCTCTGGCTACAGAGACTATACCCTTTCCTATCTTGATACACTGGCAGCTGCCTTCTATCTACTTCAGCCCAATACCATCATGGAGGAAAAGAAATACTCTCTTACCTTGAGAGCCCATTCACAATCCACCAGTGCCTTCTCATAGTTCTTAAGTTTCATATAAGCCTGTAATGAAACCAACAGCTGATATTCACACACAACTCTGCATCAGGCAGTTTTCAGTTCACGCAGAAAGAACATTCGAACAGTAGAATGTCAGCGAGAACTATCCCCTACCTAGATCAGTCATGGTCCTGCCAGGAAACAGATGGCACACTTACACTAGGCAACTGAGAGTTGAATACAGGGACCTCTTCCAAGGTGAAGGCAGGGCTTAGGGAACCTGACAAGGGATGCTACAGAATCTCAGAGCTAGCAACAGTGGACAGTCATTACCACCGCTGTAATGGAAGGGGCAGAAGGAGGGAGCAATGAACAAAATGGGAGAGGACAGCTCTGTGAAAAGAACTGCCTGACATGAGCTGAGGCCTTCACTAGAGCCAAAGGCCAGGAGAATAATACCCAATCTCACTTTTCCTCCTTCCTTCTTATTTTATTGACTGAATGCAAATGGAGGCTAGAAGGCTGGGAAGCCAAGGAGCCAGTCCACAAAGGTCAGCCCTCCAGGGCACAGTGCAGGGAAGGATCTAGAGGGACACAGAAAATACCCAGCTCACTAGCCACATCCAAGAAGGAAGAGCTGAATTCTGAAGTCTACCCTGCTGTGAATGTTCCAGAAAAACGCCAAATGATAAAGGGAATAAAAAAGACAGATAATTAGAGCCCTCATACACTGCTGGTGGGAATTAAAATGGCATAGCCCCTCTGGAAGACAGTACAGAAATTCTTCAGAAGGTTAAGTATGTTACCATATGACCCAGTAATTTTACTCCTAGGTATATATCCAAGAAGAATATAAACATACATCCATACAAATGCTTACACATGAATGTTCAGAGCAGAATTATTCATGATAGTCAAAAGGCAACAATCCAAATGTCCATCAGTGATGAAGGGATACATAAAACATGGTATATCCATACAATGGAAAATTATTCAGCAATAAAAAGAAATGAAGAGTTGATACATACCGTAACATGGATGAATCTTAAAAACATTATGATAAATGAAAGGAACCAGTCACAAAAGGACAAATGTATGATTTCATTTATATAAAATGTCCAGAACGGACAAAGGTATAGAGACAAAAAGTAGATTGGTGATTATCTCAGGCTGAGAGTAGCAGTGGGAGGATTGGGGGAGTTGACAGGTAAAGATGAAGTTTTTTGGGGGATGATGATGAAATGTTCAAAAATTGTGATGGTCGCACAACTCTGTGATTATACTAAAATCCCATTAAATTGTGTACTATAAAAGGATGAACTGTATGGTATGTGAATTATATCTCAATAACGTTGTTATCAAAAGATAATAAAAAAGCTCTGCTTCTGTCCTCCCGAGCACAGCAGAAAAAAAATGAAAGAAGTAGAGTGACATATGAGAGTCAGAGCATCACCATGAACCCTTATTTTCGAATGCCTGGGGGACTCTTTTAGAATCCCTTAGAAATGGGGAAAATCTTGAAAATCAAGAATTGACTCAGAATTCCGTGATCTGAATTCCGAAACTGAACTGATTGAGAACTTAGTTTAATGTTTCCAAGAACTAGAGGAATATAAACAAATGAAAGACTATTTATAAACAAGCACAATGGCTACTATAACCTCTCTATTAATTACTGGACACAGTAAGTGGTCAATAAAGTCTTATCAAATTGCACTAAGTAGCCTTGAAGCATTCTTCTTCTGGAAAGCTCCCTGAGAGGCAGCACCGATCATCCCATTTGTACGAAAGGATAGCCAAGCACCAGGAGCAGTGGCTTTTCCAGGGTTCCATCAGTCACCAATAATAAAGCCAGTACTACACGTAGGATTGTCCATGATCAAAACTGTATCAGGGCACTGTAACACTCTTAACAACAAATCTGATGAGATATTTGCACGGACAAGCCAATTGTGGGGTTAATGTTGCAACTCACAGGTAATCCAAGTATCCAACCCAAGTGAGAAGAGAGCAGGCAACAGCCAGCAAATGCATTGAAATCATGCCGCTCTTGGTTCCCATAGCAAGGAAGCTGCAAGTGGTGCTTTCATTAACTCACGTTCTGTAGTAATTAGAGAAGATGACTCTTTGAGCTATCTGTTCTGTAAAGCATCATCCTTTTCTCCAGGGTCTCAGGTTTCATTTGAAAATTAGGGGATGTGAGGAGGAAGCTGGCATCATTCTAGACAGCTGTGGCCATGATTTCATGGCACTATTATTCAGGAATCATGCAGACTCTGAAGAAGTCTTTATGGGTTGCAACAATTTCTCCACACGGCCTTTTACTTTTTTTCTTTCTCTCTCTCTTAAGGCTTGGATTAAACACCCTATAACTTCCTCAATCTCTTTTGCTTTTGCACATTTTAAAAAAGAACTACTTTTTCCAAATAGCAATTAAACTCCAGATTTATCTAAATTATACCGGCAATCTATTGATCATAACATTAACTCCAGGGGAAAAACAAAGCAATGAAAGGTTAGGTTTTCTCTCTAGCAAGAGAAAATTTACAGGGTCCTTATTAAGTGTTTTCTAACACTGCATGCATACAGGGGAAGCATTTTAAAAATAGTTCAATGGTTCAAACGGTTTGTAACACCAGGGAGTACATTTTCCATTTTTTTGTCTCTGCGTAAGTTTTCTCCTTGGGAAAGCTGGGAGGAATCACTCCCTCAAACCTTTTCATTACATTTCCTTATATTTATCCACATTCATTCTTAATGTGATTCTTCAGAACTAATCAAAATGCTGCTTAAAAATGAGTGCAGTGAAAATATAACTAATTCAGATGAATCAGAGTATAGACAGTCTGAATTAGATGTCTGAATTATATAACTTTTTTAAAGCAATTCAATTTTATTGCTTTCAAATAACTTCAGAGTAACACAACTGAACAAGCATCAGTAGGCAGATGTTTTTAGAGACCAAATTTGGTAATAAATAAGAAGGAACTATAATTATTCTATTAATTGCTTGCATTTAAGCGATGCTTCTGAATTGTCAACAGAAACTTAACTCCCTTAATTGGACTTACTGTGCTTCCAATGTTATGTAACTAAAAAAGGATTTATTGAACATCTGCTATAAATAAAGCATTAAGGGAAAAAGTATATGGTAGTTTTTGCCCTCAAAAAGTTTATAATCTTGTTCGGGTAATGCAATGTACTGTTAAATCAACCTCTGGCACCTTTTTTACCGATTCACTTCCTTATAACTAGTTTTCTCCAAAATTGGGATAGTTTAAGTGACACTTCAATTCTAGTCTAACTTATCCAAATTGCTAAACTAGTGAGATTATATTGCTTGGATTTATTTATCATTAAGTCACTATCACTCCCCAGACATTCTGGCCTCTGAATGTCCTGTTTCTTGCTTCCAATCCTCTTCCTCAACATCCCAGAGCCAGACATTCTTAATCTCGAGTTAGGGAAATTGGAGCTGATGAGGACTCTGCTGCAGCCTCTCCCTCTTGCAAATGACAAGGCATCAAGTCCACCTCACACAGGTCCTGCTGACATATTCTGACCATGGGGTAATCATGTCCACGAATCTGCCAAATTTTCAGGCCTGTCCGGCAGAGAACTCTACCACACAGAAACTAAAGTACTTTTCAAACACAAGGTCACAGGTGATGGTTTTGTTTCAGTTGAGAGCTATCAGTCCATCCCTTCATTAAGTGGTAAATAAACATCTGGGTGGTTTTTACCTGGTGTTCTAAGAAACTGAGCTCATTTGTGACACATACTAAGGCATAAAAACTTTAAGAAACCCAAAATTTCCAAGAAATTGGTTCTAGGACCACCGGCTATCCACTTTACCCCTGTCGCAGAATCTTAAAGAGAGACTGACACAACGAATGAGAAACTAATAGGAGGGCATCCCCTAGGAGTTAAGACCAAAAAAGGAGGCTGAAGAAATCTGTTGGTAGCAGAATTCTAAGGTCCTATAGGTCATTTCATTCCACTAGTTTTCTCCTTTATCCACAGGGACAAGCACATGGTCACCATCAGTGGTATGATGGAACTGACTTATACTATGGAGACAGCTGATAATGGGCAGTTCTTCCCGAGTCCTCCTGCAGTGATTTCAAATTAGATGATGGTGAGAATATTTGCATCATGGAAACTGGTAAATGCTACGTGTAAGTCAGCTCCTCCCACACCCAAAACAAGAGCCAGTTCTTATAAACATTTCCCAGCCCAACATCTAGTCTCATCTTTGTTTTCCCAGGTTTAGTGGTAACTATTCCCTGAGAAAGCCCCATGGACACATGCTTGCCTCACTGACCTGGGCTCGGTTGGTGTACAGCACTTTCACGTCCTTCAGCTTCTCCAAACCCTCACTATAGTGCAGGATAGCTGTTTCATAATTGCCTTCAGCAAATGCTTCATTCCCTTTTTCTTTTAGGGCTATGGGAATGTAAGTCACACAGGTGAGCTCTCACCACACATCAGAAAATCTCTCAGACTTTATTCCCCCGATTTTCCAATTCTACTTTGAAGGTCTTCACTTCTATTGATCCTAAAGGGACTCAACATTTGTTTTTCTCTGCAGATATTTCAGGACCAGCTTCTTCAAGTATATTTTTTTCCTCCAAATCCACCCATGTCTTCTAAGTAGATTCTCAGAAAAAGTAAACGTTTCTGCACCGAGGCTCAGAACCATACCAAGCTTGCCACAGAGACCAAATCTGTGCATTCGGTGTCTCATAAAGAGGGTCAAATAATTAATTTTCCCAGCAAATATGGAATAATTCAGACCTGCAGCACACACAGCCCTGGGTGGTATAAAACAAATTGAAAACATTCTTCTATCGTATATATCTCCCCACAACATACACAATCCCATCCCTTCCTTTTCCTTGATTTCTCCTCTTTTCTCACAGCTGTGTTATTCTTCTTTTCCACTTCTTCATCTATGCCTTAGGCTAGCCAGTGGCAGCTCACTCTCGCCCCCCACTACTTCCTGAGCACTGTTTAGTACGATTCACTTTGCTCTGCTAAGTGCACAGGGATGCTTTAGAAAGAGGTTTCATTGGAGGTAGGTATATCCTACCCCCTGCTTGTTGCAGCAGGAACAGAGAAGAGACCACCAATGATTTCCTTCTGGCCAAGTCCCATTGCCTCGAGCCCATCACAAACCTCACCACTGGGAATCTAGATGTCCTCAAATGTCAGCATTCAGGCTTTCATGTGCTCTTTCTAGCACAAATCATCCCACCATTGAAACGTAAGGACTGACAATTACCATCTGCTAAGACTTTGTTTTCCCTTCTTCTCTTGGCTCGTTCCTTTGCATCCTTCTCCACAGATGCCAAGAAGGCCTCTGACAGCAGGGTAATTTCAGATATTAAAAAGAAAAATCCAAATACTATAATCAGTTATTTAGCTCAAATTCAGAAGAGTTACTTTAGAGTCACACGTATGCATATGCACACAGGCACACACGCACACACACACAACTCTGAGGCAACTAAAATGACATTTTCTTAATTTGACATTAAATGGTAATCTGTGTGCTTTATTATTATACATGATGGCTATGACTGTGCTTCAAATTTGAATTATGTCTTTTAAAAGAGTTTTTCTTTGAAGACAGATTTTTTTGTTCTGTTTAGCATAATGAGCTTCTGAGCTGAGCAACAGAGAAACTATCTGGATCCCTTGAACAGGGTAAATTGGATGATACAGAATAAATGAATTGAGTTTACAAAAGGTTGACCAACAGAAAATAGAGAAAAACCTCTCAGGGACGTTCGCGCTGACCACTAGTAACAGAATGGGATGATCAGTAGGTTTTTGTTCACAGGTTGTTTGTAAGCCCAGAGGCAATAATTTAAAGGTCTGGGAGCTACACTCAATCAAAACTGGTCCTATATAAAGAATAAAAATTGGGAAGAGAGATGCTATCCTTACCTGAGTTTACTTCTTCGGCACTCTGTAGATGTAGGTTACCATAAAAACAAAGAAACAAATTTCAAAAACCACTCTCTAATTTATATGCATATAAACCAAGAAGGCAAATCAATTACAAACAAGAGGTCATTTCCTTTAACCATCAAAACTGAAGAGATCAGAATTCAGGGGGCTTGCTTTAAATCAGGAGACCTGATCATGGGCACAATTGCTATGGGACCGAGTCTGCAAAATAAGGCTGCCCAGGTCAAGAGACCTCAGCTGTGGCTTATGAGTTGGAAATGAGTTAGAATACATTACCTTAAAAGTACAGCTTAAATATATCACACAAGCTCAGGGGGTGGAGAGGCGAAGTTTTCATTAAAATAGATTCAAAGGGTTGTTCAAAGATAACCCAGAAAGATCAAAGGAAAAAAAATCGAATTTTATACTTTCTTATAAAAAATAAATCTAATGAATCTAAGAAACAAAAGACCATTTCAGCCTCGCCGGACAGTTTGAGATGAAACTACTGCCTTGGTGTAGGTCTTCTCACTGTCTGGACTTATATAACTTCTCAATAGAAAAAGAAACCTTCACAGCAGTTTGTGGAGGACTGATCACAGTCTTATTCAAGGTGGTCCTCCATTCATCCTCCTCCTGGTCTTCCTCCATAAGCAGTAGTCTCTTTTCTGTCTCCAGGACAGCGTTCTGTTGCACAACTGGGTCATCAGAATTCATCTCCTGAATTAAATTGGCTGGAGAAGAAATCAGATGTGACTTAATCAAACAAGATATTCAAAAGACTCTATTCACTAGAAAGGATGGTGCATAAAATGTATGGGAAATATCTTAAAGAAAAAAAATAGCGCAATCAAAAGCAAAATAGAGCAAGCAGAACCAATGAGAAAAAATTAACATATATATATATATATATTTTTTTTTTTTTGCCTAGAAAAAAGTTGCAGGTGAGTGTAGCTATTAGCTTTAACGAACAGAGTTTTAAGCCATTATTCAATTCAACAATAATTTATGGAGAACTCATTATTAGATATTATGTTGATGTTATAGATAACAATGATGAATAAAAAAAGATCCATTTTTGAAGAGTTTATGAACTTGTGTGGGAGACAAACATGTAAGTATAGGCAGCTCCGAAATCACAAAACAACAGCCCTTAACCCTATCCTCACCTGTCTTCACTGTACTGCCTATCCAGTTTAGATTCCATGGTCAATCACTTGGCAGTCATCCTGCCCACATACTCAAACTCCCTTGCCCCACTATCCCACCTAACAGACAAAATTCCAGCTCTACATGATTCCAATTACCCAATTCTCTCAGTCTGTATTAGGAATGCTAGTACTGAAGGAGACAGATAGATGCCTGGGGGACTGGTCCAAACTCAACTGGACCTTCAGTGATGCCTAGCAATCCTTGTTATCCTAGGCAAGATATCCTATCATTCCCCCAATGACTTTTAACAGTTTGTAATCTGAACCTGACCATCTCAAAAAGATGACCTTACTTATCAATTCAGAGAGGAGAGAGATGCCATCAACTTCCTGCCACTAAAACTATGAAACTGCCTATACCTACATCTATCCTTCCTTCCTACCAGGAAAAAGTGCCCATTCTTCAGTGAGGTTAGTCCCTCATCCTGGGCCCAGGAGTCCATCGTCATGTTTTGCATAATCAGGAACCCTGCATCACCAATTAATAATCCTACTGCACAATATTTTCAACCCATTCCATTCGACCAGCTTCTTCCTAAATGTATTTATGTACTTTAAATCTCTCCTAATGCTCTGTCTCCTCCCCTTCACAATGAAACTTCTTAAAGACATTTTCTTGTTCCAATTTCTTCATTTCCCACTGACTCTTCAAGGAAGTTTGAAATTTTTTAATTGTACAATATTTCAAGCATACAGAAAGTAATATAACATTTTTGTTTCTATGCCATTTATAAGTTAATGGTATCTTTTCTCCAGCATGTTTTAATGCTTAGTATTTGTATCATTTAGATTTTGCTGCATCACACACCACGTCAAAACTTAGTGGTTTGAAACAAACCACCAATTTTGTGGCTTAGTTTACAATTCTCTATGTCAACAATTTGAGCTGGATTCAGCTGGCCAGTTCTTCCAGTTTCAGCTGGACTCACACATATATCCATGGTCAACTGTCAGTCATCTAAGTGGCTCTGCTTTAGAAAGTCCGCTGGCTGTTGGCTTGAGAAATGCGAGCAATGAGGGGAGGTGTGTCTTACCTTCTCATGAGTGGCATGAGTGCAAGCCCCAATTCACATGCACTTTTCAAGCCTGTTTGCGTCATGTTTGCAAACATCCTTTTGGTCAAAGTGAGGCACGTAGCCAACCAACCCAGATTCAAGGGGTAGAGAAATAGGCTCCACCCTTGATAGGAAGAAAGGAATTGGTAACCATTCTTGCAATCTATCAGAATATTTGTGTATGTAATTAAACAATTTTTAAAAATAGTTGTATAAAATGTGCATTCATTTGCAACTTACTTTTTTCTCTTAAGATGCTTTAGACATTTGTTCTTGATACATATGGTTCAGTTGATTCATTTAAACCATTATATATACACCATAGTTAATCCATTCTCTTATTGATAGCCAGGTGGTTTTTAATTTCAGTTTTTTCTAAAGTAAATAAATGCTGAATTAAATACCTTTATTTACATATTTCCCTGTGCACTTATGTTACAAATCCTTCAGGATGTGGCTGCACCAATTTTTACTGCTACAAAAGTGTACAAGAGGGAGTTCCCATTCTTCTACATTCTTGTCATCACTTGCTAGGTTAAACTTTTTAATTGTTGTCAACGTAATGAATGGGAATGGTATTTCATTAATGTTTTAATATGTATTTTGCTGAATGTGATTGGAATTGAGCATCCTCTTACTGATTTGCACCCATCTGGATTTCTATGAAGAGCCTACTCCTATCCTTGGCCAATTTTCTATTGGGTCATTGTCTCTTTCTTATTAGTTAACATAATTTCTTTTCAAAAAAAATTTTTTTTTTAAGAGACCGTCTGGCTATGTTGTCCAGGCCGGATTTGAACTCCTGGGCTCAAGTGATACTCCTGCTTCAGCTTCCTGAGTAGCTAAGACTACAGGTACACACCACCATGCCTGGTTGATTTGACTGTGAAACAGGGGAGTTCTCTGATCCCCCTCGCAGGACATGCGACAGAGGTGTGGCTTGCCTGTTCAGTCACCACCACTACTCAAACCCCTGAGGGGAGGGGGAGACAAGTGCAGGAGCCCAACTGGGAGCGTGTTACAGTGTGTCCTTTTAGCCCTGCCATCTGCGGACGACTTGAGTTAACCAGCTCAATGGATCCTCTGCCTTTTCACAAGGCTTTTTGTATCCTGAGCTCTTGCCCAGCATCCCCGGAAGAACCGGGTCACACACAGGCTTGAAGGATGAATGTGGGGTTTTATTGAGTGGTGGAGGTGGCTTTCAGCGGGATGGATGGGGAACTGGAAGGGGGGATGGAATGGAAAGATGATCTTCCCCTGGAGCTTGGCCATCCAGGGGCCAAACTGCCCTCTGACTGCTCCCAGCCAAACTCCTCTCAGCGTTCAGACATTCCTCCTCTTTGCTCTGCTGTGTCATTCTGCCATTTGTCTGCTTGTGTCCTCATCTCCTCACCTGCTTGCCTGCTTCTGGAGCCTGCAGTTCAGGGTTTATATGGGCACAGGATAGGGGAGCATGGCAGGCCAAAAGGCAACTTTTTGGGCACGAAAACAGAAATGCCTATTCCCACTTAGGGCTGCAGAACTCCAGGCTTAAAGGTGGGGTCTTTGCCAGGGAACCACCCTCTCCTACCCACTATTCCCGTCTCCTATCCTTATCAGTTGTATATTCTGGACTGGTTACATGTATTTCCAAGCATCTTCCCCTTGGGTATGCTTTGTCTTTTCATTTGTTTTTATGGAATATTTTGTTGAAGAGATTTTCTTTTTAATCTTAATGTGTTAAATATACCAATCGTTTCCTCTACAATTTAGGCCTTTTGTGTCAGTAAGGTTATAAATATACTATTTTATGGTATTTTATAAAAGTTTTAAAGTTTTTTTCTCATTAAGGTATGTAATTCACCTGGAGTTGACTTTCATGTAGGGCAGGAGCATTATTTGTTGAGAAGTCCCTGCCAGCAATGTGTCTCATCAGCCCTGTAATATGTACGAGTCTGCTCCAGGCTCTGCATTCCTTTCCCCTGATTGTCTTTTCCAGCACCAAAACCTCCATGCATCGATTACTATGGCTTTATAATAAATCTTCAACGTCAGATAGGGAGAGTTGTCCTGCCTTTTTTTTTTTTTTTTTTTCCTGCAGAGTTTTCTTGGCTCTTGCTGGTCCTTCGCTCTTCCATGTAAACTTTGGAATCAGTTTGCTGAATTTTAGTACATACTACTTTGGGGGTTTTTATTTAAATTGCATTTACTGTATAGAATATTTTAAAAATCGACATCTTTAACAAATAAGTCTTCCTATGATTAAATATGTCTCCATTTATTTAGCTCTTCTTTCATGTCTTTTAATTAACTTTTTTTATTGACTCAACTCCACACGTTATTCTAATTTCATTGTTTGTCTCCCTAATGTCCTTTTTCTATTCCAGGATCCCCTCCAGAACACTATATGACATTTAGTCATGTCTCCTTAGGCTTCTCTAGGCTGTGACCATTTCTCACCCTTTCCTTATTTTGATGACCATGATAGTTTTGAGTAGTACTGATCAGGTATTTCATAGAATACGTTGCAATTTGGGTTTATCTGGTATTTTTCTCATGGTTAGACTGGGGTTACAGGATTTGGGGAAAAAGACCATGGCACATTATGGCATATCAAGGATGCATGCAATCAGCGTGATTTATCAGGAGGTTAACCTTGATCATCTGTCTGAAATTGTGTTTGTCAACCTTTTCCACTGTAATGTTACTTTCTTCCCTCTCTTTCCATACTGTACTCTTCGGAAGCAAGTCACTAAATGTATCTCACATTTAAGGGGTAGAGATGCTCCATCTCCTTGAGGGAAGAGTCACTACATAAATTAGTTGGAATGGATTTACTGCTTTCAGGGTAAACACAAATTCCTTACCATGGTTTCCAAGGTCTTTCCTAATATGGCCCCTCCATATTCAGATCGGACTCTTCTCTCCTTGATCTCTTCTTTCCAGCTATATGGGGCTTTTTATTCTTTCACTTCCTCAAAAGCACCACACTCTTTCTTCACTCTTAGGTTTCCTGCCTCCTTACTTCCCACCCAGAATAGTCCCCTGTCATCTCCTCAGTGACCAACTCCTACTCACTCTTCACATTTTGCCTAAATCTCACTTCTTCAGGAAAACTTAATTTGATTTCTGTTATAGACTAAATTGCATCCCCCCTGCCAAATTCACATGTTGAAGCTATAACTCCTGGTATGACTGTATTTGTAGACAGGGCCTTTAAAGAAGTAATTAATTATTGCCCTAATCCAATATGACTAGTGTCCTTATAAGAAGAGAAACACCAAATACATCCACACACAGAGAGATGACTATGTGAGGGCGCAGCGGGAAGGTGCCCATCTGCAAGCCAAGGAGAGAGGCCTCAGAAGGAACCAAACCTGCTCACACCCTGGTCTTAGATTTCTAAACTCCAGAACTCTAAGAAAATAAAGTTTTGTCATTTAAGCCAGCCAGCCTATTTTGTTACAGCAGCCCTAGCAGACTAATACAACCTCCCAAAGCTGGGTTAGATCCCTACACTTTATAATTCTCTCTGTGTCTCATATTGCACACTTGAAATTACTGTTTAATATCTGTTTTCTTCACCAGACTATTGAAACCATGAAGAGGTAATTCTTTGACTGTATTCTCTACGGCCTACCAACATTCAACACATAGCAAGAGCCCAAGAAGTAAATGTACAGAATCTATATACATGTGGCTACATAAATTTAAATTAATTGAAACAAGCCACATTACAAACCTGGACTGCAGCCATAAACACACAGAATCCTAACCACACAGAGTGGAGCTATAAGCCACATTTCAAATACTCAATAATCATGTGGCTAGTGGCTACCATAGTGGACAGTGAGGATTATGGCAAATTTTCATCATCACAGAAAGCTCTATTGGACAGCACTGGTATAAATGATACCTGAATGAACTGTGAGTATCCATAAAAGTTAGCCAGGTTAAAAAAAAAAAGATGAAGAGGCAGTGGGAATGGCAAAGACCCAGTGCAGAGTGTGAAACACAGAGTATGTGTGGGGGAAACTATCAGCAGTTTTTTGCTGCTCAAGCGTGAGGTAGGGAGATATGAGAGAGGTAAGGACAAGGTCATGGGAGGACTTAAGTCCTGATGAGAGCTTGGGATTTATTGTGACTGCAAAAGGAATCCAAGCAGAGAAGTGTCTGGGTCAGATTTGCATTTTAGATACATTACTCTGTGGGGAGTATAAACCTGGAGATAGGAAAAACAATCAGGGGGTTGTTGAAATAGTCTGGGTGAGAGGAACCAGAACAAAGGGAGGGTTGGAGAGGATGGCTCTCCAACCAAACTAGATGGCTAATTGGATGCAGGGTTATGAGGTGGGAGGAGTCTCAGATACTTGTAAATTTCTAGATGGTAGTGTCACCAACTGAGACCAGGATGAAGGGGAGGGTACGAGAAGCAGGTTTTATTTGGGAGGGGGAGGGCAAAGGGGAGGGAAAGAGATGATGCCTCAATTTTGGACACATTTAAGTTTGAGTTATTTGTGGGATACAGTAGGTACGACAGTGATCATAGAAGCAGAGGCTCAGAAAAGAAGGCTAAGTATCCACGTAGATGTGGGGGTCATGGCCACCACATACTGATGGCAGATAAAGCTACATGTTTAGACCAGCTGAAGAGAAAGGCAGCAGTGGGCCAAGGCCAGAGCTCCATGGAACAGCACTCAGGGATGAGCAGGCCCATGAGGCACACAAGGCATTATACATGTATCATTTATGATACCACCCAAACTAGCTTTAAAACCAGTTGATTCTATAAACCCAGACAATCTGCCAGAAGCAGCAATTTCAACATATTTCTTGTATTTACTATGGAAGGTCTGTTTGCCTGTTCGTTGGTTTGTTTCTATACTCAAACGAGCTCCCTGAATAGGGACTGACAGGTTCAGAAATTCCTGAAAGTGATCTGTGGGATCACAGTACATATTCTTTGAGATCCAACCTGTCTGAGCTTGGGAAAGGACTTTCTCATCTAGAGGGAGAGAAGGGAATGACTCATAAGCCATCCATGTAATGTGATGGATTCTAAAGGAAAGTCATTTGATTTTGCCTCTGCAGCTCTAAAACAGAAATGGCTCTACTCTAAAACGCGAGGAATCTCACACTGATCAATGAGGCTCTAGACCCTTGAAGGGAACAGCTAGGTTCATTGTCAGTGAGGAAACAGCAGCTCGTTTTGACCGGATTCCACTAAGAAGGATACAAAATATGGAGGAAAACCATCAGCCTGAATTCCTATCGAAATGTTAACAGTTTCTCTGATACCAATTAACAGCCAGAAAATATGGCCCCGAGGCTATAACTTGCCTGTCAATACCCTTCTGTTTAATTTCAATTACATTTTTTCCCTGAGAGTTACAAACCTGTCAAGCCACCCAGGAACTTAAGATGATCATTTCCCTTTATCTACTCCACCTCTCTAAAGCAAAAATTAATGTATGATTTACTAGTACTTACTGATTTCATCCACATTTTTAAGAAATTTCTGCAGATCTTTCTCTTGATCAGCATCCATTGTGAACCGGAATCCCTAAGGGATGCAGCATAAATGATGAAATTAATAATAATAAAGCACTAAACAGAATGGTCAGGCTTATTAGCATTCTAAAACTAAGAGCCAAGTGATTATTTTTATGACAGTTTTGTTTATAAATGTCAATGAATAACAGTAGGGTGATCCGTTTCATTCTAACTGCTATTTAAGGCCAAGAGGCACTCATTTATGTGCGGCAATGCTTCCACAAAGCTTCCAGCCTTCCTTTCAGTGCAGAAAACGCTCTGCAAATAGTTCTTCCAAAGCTAACATCAATCCCGGCGATTTAGGGACCTGGCATGGAGATGAGGAGAGAGCAGATGACAGGTTGCCAAGGACAGAGAAATACACTAACTCCTGACTTTGATCATGACAGGCCGGTCTAGTCAGAAACTTAAATGTGGATGTGTGACAGGTAACAAACTTGGGGCAATTTGCATCCAAATGTCCATACTTGTTTAAAATACGCCTTTGGCTTGTTTCTGAAGAGTGAAGAAAGGGTACAAATGGGCTGAAGGGATTAGAACATGATGTTACCATGCTCACCAGCGTCTCTTCTGCTGTAGGTACGTTAGACATTATTTTATAGATGTTTTTGTGGGAGAAGGCTCCGTGGTCTACCCAGCGGTACTTAGTGCTTCATCCACAGATCATAAAAATCATCAGAAAGCTTGTTAAATATACAGCTTCCTCAGCCGTAGCCCGAGATTTTGAGTCAGTAAACCCGGGACAGTGCCCAGCCACGAATGTAGATTTTAAACCCGTTCCAGGTGATTCTGATTTACGGCCAGGTTTCATAGTAGTGTAACATGATTCTAACACGTAATCTGCCACGAACAAACTGCGAGTGATTTAATCTGAGTCTGGGTGTCCTTATCTCCACCAGTTACAAGCTGTGTGATTCTGGCTAAAGTCACAACCTCTCCGAGCCTCAGAGTCCTCACCCATACTATGGGAAGGTTAGAGAGAAACCACAAGGACACTTTGGGGACTGATGTAAAGCACCAGGCACGCGACGAGCGCTCACTGTGAAGCACCCTTACCTATATAAAACGGAGTGGGGTTGCGGCTTAACTGAATGATCCGTAGGGTTTCTTCCAGATCAAATCTTTTCAACTCCCACGGAACAGAGGCCCAGTCCGGTGAATTAACCTGCCCAACGGTATGAGGGTTAGAAGGCAGGCACGCGGGTGCAGGGACAGGAGACAACCCCTGTCTCCCAGGGCATGGATCTCAGGGTCCTCACTGCCTGGCCAGTGCCACCCCCACGCTAGAGTGAGAGGGCCAGAGCCAGGTGACGGCGAAGCGACGCCGCCCTCGGTGTTTCACTCGGTAGGGCTGCGGCAGCGGGGTCCTGTGCCAGAGCCCCGCGCCGAGCCCGCCCCAGACGCGCGCTGCCCGCCGGGCGCAAAGAGGCCAGGCCGCCCGCACTGTTGCCCGGCAACCGCTCCCCGGCGTACGCAGGCCCGGGGCCCTCCAAGCAGGTCCCAGACCGCAGCCGAGACCTTCCCATGCTCTGGGGCCCAAAGCAGCGTCCTCTGCTCGGCTCTGAAGGCCAGTCCAGGACCAGCTCCCACGGGGTATTCCGGGATACCCCCCAGCACCAACCTGACTCGCCCAGCTTTGGACAGGAAATGGCGCAGCGACTGGCCTAGGCTGGGGCGGGGCCAGGAGCCAGGGGCCCCGGGGCGGGACCAAGGGCGGGGTCAAAGGCCGGAGGGCGGGACCGGGGGCGGGACCAGGGGCGGGACCGGGGGCGGGCATGGCCCCGCCATCACCACCCTAGGGCTCTAGCTCCGGAGCGAGCCAAGTTCAAGGCCAAAGTCGAGGTTGGGATGCCCGATGCCTGGCGCGGGGAGATGGAGGAAGCAAAGTGCTGGTCTCTAAAGCAGCGCCTGCTGCTGCCTTTTTTCTCCTGAAGAGGGGGTGTCTCACTCCCATTAGCTTAATATCCTTGACCAAAATGTAAAGTCTCCAGTGTAGTTGTGAATCCGGTTTTGTTTATTGATGAATGTGTGAGTTAGAAGATTTACACATTTATCCTTAGGAGAATTATTTGAGTAACCTTTTTAATCCTCAGTTTTCTCATCTATGAAATGGAAAAATGGCACTTTCTCACCAGGTTTGTGGTTAAAGTTCTGTAATGGCCCAACAGATTCACCTTGCTCACTGCCTAAACAGAGTTGATTTATCAAGACAGGGGAATTGCAATAGAGAAAGAGTAATTCACACACAGCTGGCTGTGAGGGATACCGGAGTCTTATTATTACTCAGATCAGTCTCCCTAGCTTTCGGGGATCAGAGTTTTAAAGGATAATTTGGTGGGTAGGGGTCAGTGAGTCAGGAGTGCTGACTGGTAGGATAGGAGATGAAATCACAGGGAGTCAAAGCTGTCCTCTTGTGCTGAATCAGTTCCTAGGTGGGGGCCATAAGACCAGATGAGCCATTTTATCCATCTGGGTGGTGCCAGCTGATCCATCGAGTGCAGTGTCTGCCAAATATCTTAAGCAATGATCTTAGGATTTACAATAGTTTATGTTATCCCCAGGAGCAATTTGAGGAGGTTTAGAATCTAGCAGCCTCTAGCTGCATGACTCCTAAACCATAATTTATAATTTTGTGGCTCATTTGTTAGTCCTGAAAAGGCAGTCTAATCCCCAGGCAAGAAGGGGATTTGTTTGGGAAAGAGCTGGTATTGTCTTTGTTTCAAAGCTAAACTATAAACTAAGTTTCTCCCAAAGTTAGTTTGGCCTATGCCTAGGAATGAACAAAGACAGCTTGGAGATGAGGAGCAAGATGGAGTCAGTTAGGTCAGATCCCTTTCACTATCTCAGTTATAATTTTGCAATGGCGGTTTCAGTGCCTGGTACCTAGTCAGTAGGAACAGGTGGCAGACGACATCCGGAGAATGGTAGTAGGGTTTAGAGCAGAATGAGCTAATGGGCACATTCATTCACGCCCCAAATACGTGCACACAGCCCTAAAGAAATTTCAGTCTGTTTTTCTAAACAAAATCTCAGAGTATTATGTGCAGGGTTACCAATGGAAAAAAAGCAGGTTTAGGGGAAACTTGAGCTTAAGTTCATGGTCAGAAACACCTGGAACTTCTTGGCAAATGAGTGCTTTATGGAAACCTGTTTGGTAGGGAACAAGGAGCCCCTAGAGATGGAATTCGTCAGAGGGGAGAGGGATCCAGGCATGGCCAACTAGCTCTAATGTTGATTCCAAGTACAGCATGTTGACTCTCTTGTGGCCTAGGCCCCATAGGATGCATGCCTGTGTCCTGTAGAGAACAGAAGAGCTGTTTGACTGAAGTCTCTATGATGTATTGGTCCACATGCCATCCTGCTTGGGTACCCCTCTAATGCAGCATAACACAAAGGGGCCAGGGATGTTCTGCTCCTCTTGGCAGCTGAACAGGTACAGCATCAGCAGAGTGAGTCTTTTCGCTCATCAGCTGCAACAGGAGACCTGGGGGTCCCAGAAGGACATGATCACAGTGGCTATCCCAAGGGACTGAGGTGCCTCAGGAGAAGTAGCAGGGAGTGTAGGTGCCTGGCAGGAGCAAGGACGTTGATGAGCACAAGCCAGGCACACAATAGGGATCCTCAGAAGGATATGGGGTATTTTACAGTGACCTTCCAGCCTTTGGGAATTGATGGAGACAAGAACCAGTGATGTTTTGGTTATCACCATTAGTATCATCCCATTTTCCTCTTGCTTGTGAGGCCTTGAACACATGAAGGCTATATGCCTATGGTCCCCAAACTCAGGATGTTTCTTATCACTTTGAGGCCAATTGTTCCAAATCACTTACTTCCTATCCTACTACTCTTTTCACTAAACTCCTTTCCTGTGTTCCAGAGGTATCTGCCCACAACTGACTATACCACATAACCATTCACTCACATATTCGTTCAGCAAATGTGAGTGGTCTATAGTGTGCCAGATGCAGTGGAAGGCCCCTGGGGTGCACTTGACATATATTCATCACACGCTAAGTGGTTAAGGGCTGGGGTTCTGGATCCATTTTGCTGGGTTCAAATCTCACATCTCCACCTATTAGCATTCATTAAAATGTCTTTAAGCACCTACCATGCACCTTCTATTGTGCTAGGTACTGGGGATCATATTCCTCCTCTTTTATTGCTAACACTACTGAAACCATCCTTACAAATTTTATAAAATTAATCAGTGAAGCAGGGAAGGGGAGAAATAAAATAAGCCCAGCTTGCAGCACATTCAGCATGAACCATAAGGTCAGCTTGTGCTCTGGCCTGCCTCTTCACAATTGTTTGGTGTCTGTTGTCTCAGAATCACGTAGACCTGTTACAAGATTATAGTTCCCCTTAACTGCTCTATAGGTAACAACTTGAACATAAAACATTACGTTTTCCACTTGGAATATTCTTTCAGGTTCCGCAAACCAGTGAAATTACTAATGTCAGCTGTTCTGAAGGACCCATTGACACCAGCTGGTCTGAGGGCCCCACTGTGACCCTGTCCTGCTGGCCCCCATCCAGGTCTCCTACTGTAGCTGATCAGAAGCTGACTCACCAAAGAATGCAGTTTCCAAATTCTGATACTGTCATCCCCCTTATCCCACCAATGGACAACCCCAGTTTTCTAGCCCCTCGCCCTCCATGATCTCCTTAAAAACCCCAGCCCATCACTCCACCGGGAGATAGATCTGAGGGGCTCCTCCTCACTCCAGCTCTCTGCCCCCTCACTTGGTGCCCTGTGATCTGATTCTTTCTGTGCTGCACAACCTGTTGTCTCAATGTAACTGGTCTGTTATACACAGTGGGCGTACAATATGCATCTGCTACTGCTACTGTTAGATGTGTGACCTTAAGCAAGTTATTTAATCCCTTTGGGCCTTAGTTTCCTCATCTGTAAAACAGAGTTGTTAAATGATTCTCTATCCCATAGGGTTTCTGTGAGAGGTACATAAGTTAATATAGGCAATGTGCTTAGAACAATGCCTGGAGCATTATCAATAACTAGTAAGTATTATTAACTATTAGTACAACTATGATTAGTATATGTTAGACCAGCTCCTCTGAACCTTGATTGTATGTAGAAATTGCCTGGGGATCTTGTTTAAACAGGCATAGGGGCTGAGGTCTGCAGTGACACCCCTCTATAGACCATGGCCACACTGAGTAGCAAAGTGCAGACACTTCATTAAATGCTGGGATGCAGCAGAGCACCAGTGGTATCTGGTCACCAGACTCAAGGAGCTTGCTTATCACCCAAGGGGAATAAGGGTCAATAATCAAAATCATCATGTAAATTCTCATTGTGATAAATGCTATAAAAAGTAAAGGGTGAAAAGCAAAGGTAGCACAGGGTGCCATGAAAGTCTAGTCTCAAACACTGGAAGTCTTCCCTGATGATGTGGTGTTCAAGAAGAGACTTGGGGGAGTGAGTGGGCGTTGGACAGTTAAAGAGGGAGGTGGAGAAACAGCAAATGGCATGGGCAGTCAGGAAGGAGCCTAGTAGGGAGGAGGAACCAGCAGAACGCCAAGTTTGTCTGCTGCGTGGAGAGCAAAAGGTAAGCAGTACAAGATGAAGCAAGGGCCAGATCACATTAGCCTTTGAAAGCCATGTAAAGGTTTTTGGTCTTTATCCTAAGCACCATAGGCGGCCTTCCAGGGCTTTTAGCAGAAGAGTGACATGCTCAGATTTTTATATTTTCTTAGAAAGTTATTCTGGCTGCAATGCAGAGAATGATCTGAAAAGAGGTGAGAGGGACACTGGGAGCCAAGTTAGGAGGTTGATAGTGGGTATTGGCGGTAGGAATAGAGATGAATTTGAGATGTATTTTGGAGGAAGGATTGACAGCAGGAAAGTATCGATAATGACATTAGGTTTCCAGCTTGAACCAGATTAAGGTTCTCCATTGGCTGAGCCAGAGAATATTAGAGAATCACATTTGGAGAAAAGATGAGTTCAGATTTGTGATATCCAGTCCAAAATGCCCATGAGTTATCCAAGTGTAGATGTGGAGTAAATTGATGATTGTCCCTTAATATTTATTCTCCTGTTCTTCAGATCTACCAATTTTTAGCAAGGCCCAAGACACACAGAATAGACTGTGTTTCCAAGCTTTCCTTGTGTAATACACGACCAAGTTCTAACCAATTACATATAAGCAGAGGTGGTGGTGCTGCTTCTGGGAAGTGTCCCCAAAAGGATGTTCTTTTCCTTGCCTTTCCTTTTCCTTGCTGATTGGAATGGGGACCCAATGGCTGGAGCTGGGTCAGCCATTTTGGACCATGATACAGAAGCGTTGTGTTGAGGATCTAGAAGGAGACTGGGTCCTGAGACCATGGAGCTGCCTCACGGGCTTTGGACTGCCCAACTTCTTATTTCTATGTGAGTGAGACACTGAACACCAACAAGAGATACTTCAGTTGCTGGAAATATAAAGACTTTTACTGAAGATTCTGCTATCTTGGGTTTTCTGTCACGCCCAGTCAAACCTAATGTTAACTGATATGGAAAGCACTCTTCATTCATTCATTCATTCATTTATTCAACTAACACTCTCTTAATGTTTATATCTAATTTTTTTCATCATAAGTCCAAATAATATTGTTATACCAGCATAATAGAAATGTTGCTGTTTTAAAATGAAACACATGTTAATTTTTAAATGCATCTCATCCAATAAACTTTAAACATT